ACACACACACAGCGGGTTCTCCACAGATGGCACTCTTTGATCCTCTGCCTGGTTTTGGCGGGCAAAGTGGCTGGTTTTGGCCACCTGGGCACTTCCCACCGAAACTGACTCCTTTAATTACCAGCCTCAGAAATAGGAGAGGCTCCCTGGATTTCCCAGACTACCTTGGTAGGTGCCTTCTCTCCCCCCCCCCTTTTTTTTTTTTTTTTTTTTGAGCTGCAACCCTCCAGACAGGCCACTGATCAACAGAATAACAGTCTCTGCATTGTGCATCCTGGCAGAGATTATCTGCAGCCTGGCAGCTGGCATTTCGTGCCCGGTTGGGTAAATCTGCCACTCAGCCTTGTGCCCTCTTTGCACAGCTCCAGCTTATGGCCTTATGCCAAGGGCTGGCTTTTTTTCCCTCTCCTTTGTACGGATGTGTGTCTGTCTGTCTGTATATTATATATAAGGTTGGTGATGAAAAATTTGCAGAGAATATTAAGAATAATACTTGCCAAGCCTGCCTTCTCCGTTCCGCTTTGTTAGCGCTGAACCACCCTTTGGCAGGCTGCGTTATTGTTGCCGAGAATTCATCAGAAGAGCAGTTTGTTTGCCATTCAGAGAATTGGGAATTAAAGTGGGATTTGATGCTCAGGAGAGTCCTTCTTTCTTTCTTTCTTTCTTTCTTTCTTTCTTTCTTTCTTTCTTTCTTTCTTTCTTTCTTTCTTTCTTTCTTTCTTTCTTTCTAGCTATTTAATTTGTAGCACCTCTGCCCTGCCACGCTGAAGCGATGACTCTTGATGGTTTAAAAGTTTCCACCCCGTGTTTGAAACGGATCAAAACATAAATAGGAAAGCAGTAATGGCAACAGCCTCCATATAGAAGCATGGACACACACAAAAGGAAGGGAAGGCCACATGAGCTACAGACTTGAGGAATTCCCTTCTGAAATAATTCAGTTTTGGAAAATTTGCAGGGAACTGAAAAGGAGGGGTCCAGTTGGTGGTGGTTGATGGGGCGAGAGACAAAAGTCCCCGCTCCCTTCCCATCCGTGCCCCTTGGTTTTAACGTTTCATTTATTTATTTGTGGTTCACCTTAATTGTAATGCTCTTAATCTTTTTATGCCTCCGTTTTATACTGCGGTGAGCCACCCAGAGTCAGATAATGAGATGGGTGGCGGATAAAGTGGAGAAATAAATGAAATTTTAGTGGAGCAAGTTCAGCAGCTCCACTTTCTATCCCATCAATGTTGCTGTACTTGCTGGTTCTGTTATCCCAAAGAGATCTTTAGCTGAACCTCCAGTCACAGTTAAGGATGGCTGGGAGATTCCACTTCCTTTCCTCCTGGCTCCGCTGCTTCCATACTGAATTGTTTTGAGGGGCCGGCTGAAATGGATGATGTTGGACCCAGAAGGTTGAGCCACTGCTGCAATCAAGGGCAAAGGGGGGGGGGAATGGCTGTGTTGCCAGTCACAGGCAATCCTCGATTTACAGACATTTGTTTAATGACCGTTCGAAGTTACCACGACACTGAAAGAAGTGACCTATGACCGTTTTTCATACGACCGTCGCAGCATCCCCAGGTCACGTGAGCAAATTTCAGACGCTTGGCAACTGACTCGTATTTATGACGGTCACAGTGTCCTGGGGTCCTGTGATCACTTTTGACTTAACAAGCCAAGTCCATGGGGAAGCCAGATTTGCTTAACGACCGTGTGACTAATTTAACAACTGCAGGGATTCACTTAGCCACTGCGGCAAGGAAGGTGGTAAAATGGGGCAAAACCTGCTTAACAAATGTCTCACTCAGCAATGGAAATTTTGGGCTCCATTGTGGTTGTAAGTTGAGGACTACTTGTACCTGCGAGGAATCCTGATGGGTTTTCTCTTTGCTAGTGCAAGCTGGAACTCGTCGTTGGAAGCCCAGCCTCCTGCATGGAACTCGAACTCTACACCCCGGACGACAAGTTTGTGATGAAGCTGGACCGCGATGAGGCCTTGCTGGGCTCGTACCCGATTGACGATGGATGCCGAATCCATGTGAGTCTGCATGGATTCCGGCTCTTTTCTTAAGGCTTCTTTCCCTATTGCAAAAAAACTTTATTAATTCTCTGAGGGTTGTTCTTGAGCCGAGGTCTCCAAACGTGCCTGTAAGACGTGTGGATTTCAACTCCCAGAATTCCCTAGCCAGCTATGAATTCTGGGAGCTGAAGTCCACAAGTCTTAAAGTCGCCACGTTTGGGGACCCTTGAGTTAGTTGAACAACATTCACCTTTGCTTCTGGACTGGAACCTACCAGTGACCTGAAGTGGATGCCTTCTTTGGCCCCGTAGGTGATAGACCGAAGCAGTGCAACAGTCGGGGAATACGAAGATGTCTCGAGGGTGGAGAAGTTCCAGATTTCGGATACTGAATACGACAAGCGAGCAGGTAAGAACAGAAGTCACGCCCTCCATGTGGGATGTTTGAGCAACAGACGCTTATTTATTCCAGAAGTGGGGTTTAGAGCAGGGGTGTCCAAAGTTGGCCATTTTAAGACTTGTGGACTTCAACTCCCAGAATTCCTCAGCCAGCCTGGAATTGCTGGGTGAAATGGAAATGGGGGTGGGAGGAAACCCCATCAGCCTTGAAGCTGACATCATTTCCCCTTCATTGAGAGAAGTAAATCTTATTTCTTAAGAATAACAATTGGATATTATATATTTATATGTAAAGAGAGAGAGACAGACAACAGATGGATATATATATATATATATATAATTTCCATCTGTTGTCTGTCTGTTTCTCTGTATACTGTATATCTATTCCCCAATCGATATATACATAAAAAATACAGATGTTGATATTACATATATAATATCTGTATGTATCTGTATGTATATATATGTATTCAATGTAATTTATATTATATATATTAAATATATAAATATTTGGTTCAGCTTCTGAGCAAAAAGCGTGGAAAAGGGTGGTCCCTTTGAGGTCTTCCTTTCCCAGTGATACAAGGTGGATGCTTTTATGAAAACCGAATTTTTAAAGACTTACCAATGGAGGGAGGTTGGCTTTTTTGGGGGGTCCCTACAAAAGGCCTCTGCTAAGCCACTGGCTCTGCCCCGCAGACACGGCCCGCTCGTTCATGAAGCGCAGCAAGCTGGGACAGTACAATAAGGAGGAAATGTCGAGGAAGGAGGCTGAGTTAGAGCAGAAGCTGATAGAGGAGAAAGCCCTGGCGGAGGCCATTTCCGTGGGGGCCAGGTGTGAAGTGCGAGCATCTGGGCAGCCCAGCAAACGGGGGATGGTGATGTACGTGGGTGAGTATTTGGCTTTTACGTCCAAGGTCCCAAAATCGCTTTTTAAGAGGGAACTGGACTTCGTTGGTTTTATTTTTTTCTTTGAAAAGGTTTCACTTCTCATCCAAGAAGCTTCTTCCATTCTGAAGAAGCTTCTTCAGTTCTGATAAATTGAAGAAGCTTCTTGGATGAGAAGCGAAACCTTTAAAAAAACACACACAACTAGATCTCTGCCTGTGTGGCTTGCTCTTGAAACACAGTGAACACAACTCTGATCCCTTTTTTGCTACTTTGAATTTCAGTAAATTGTTAGTTAGCCTGCTTCAATTGGCTGTCTGAAACAGTGCACACACAAGAGTTGGTTGAATACTTTTATGACTCTCTCTTTGGTTTTTCATAGGCTTAACAGAATTCAAACCTGGTTACTGGGTTGGGATCAAGTATGACGAACCTGTGGGAAAACATGATGGCAGGTAAATCCCCCTTTGCTCTGTTTTTGGCCTTGTAGCTGTCCACACGCCCCCTCTTGTGGGGTCCTGAGTTTCTGGCTGCGAAAAAGAGGGTCCACAGTGGAGAATTTTATTTTATTTCTTAATAAAATGTATATTGCAGGGGTCTCCAAACTTGACAGCTTTTAAGACTTATGTTAAGTCAGTAACATGGTTGTTAAGTGAATCTGGCTTCTCCACTGACTTTGCTTGTCAAAAGGTCCCAAAAGATGATCACATGATCACTGCAACCATCATAAATATGAGTTAATTTGCCAAGAGACCGAATTTTGATCACATGACCATGGGGATGCTGCAGTGGACATAAGTGTGAAAAATGGTCTTAAGTCACTTGCTTCAGTGCCATCGTAACTTCAACCGCATTTGATCCATGTGCTCATTTGGTGCTATTTCCTTTCCTTTCCTTTCCTGACAGCGTCAACGGCAAGCAATATTTTGAGTGCCAGCCAAAGTACGGAGCCTTTGTGAAGCCTCAGCATGTCACCGTGGGGGACTTCCCAGAAGAGGACTATGGGCTGGATGATGAAATGTGAGGGAAGCAGAAGGAGGAGGGAAGCGGAGAGGATCTCCACAGCCCCTGCTTGCTGACAGAGCCTCCCCGGTTGCCGCTGTTTCCGCAGAGCACCGCTGCACTCTGATTCCAAGTCGGGGGTAGCTTGAGTGAAGCAGAAGAACTGTGTGTTTCGACGTGTTCGTTGTTTGTCCCTTTCCCCTGGTTGTCTCTGTTCAGTGAAGATGCCGCATTGCCTGATTTTTTCCATGCACACCCTTTAGGTCAGTAACAGAGAACCAGAATGTCTTTGATTGTGGTAGCCATTTGGGGGAGGGAGAGATAACGGTGATGTCTCCCCAAATTTCCCGTGACAGCGAGTGGAAACTGAGATTGAGGGTTCTGAACAGATGTATATACAACTCTGGTTTCGAAACAAAACAAAATCTAAACCGAATCATTTTGATGACACTTTTTTTTTTTTCCATTGTGGGTCTTTGTGGTTCCGTTTTGTTTTTGTGCTGCTCGAAGATGCTGTGTGATCATTACAAATTAAAAGTTTTGGAAGAGGGGGTCAGATACATTCCAGACAAACGTGCTTCAGTGTGAATTTCTTTTCTCTCTCTCCAGGCAAGCAAAAACAGGGAAGGAAATTTTCAGAAATGTGGCCTTAAGCCAAGTCAAGGTGCTGGTGGTACAAACCGCGGGGACATCATATGATGTCATAATATAAGGGAGGGGGAAATGTGGTGAGATTGTGCGTATGACATCACTTCCTCTTGGCCTTTGGTCTATCTAGCTGGAGGAGTGGGATTCTATGGCCTGTGTTCTGAAGCCCTTCTATCAAGATGGGTTTAATGCACCATGTCACGCTCCTCCAAGACCCAAAAGAGACAAATTGTGATTCTTCCAGATTTCTTTATTATTCCTCTCCCATAGGCAGAATCTTGCCAAACTAAAGCAGGCTAACCCCGCCCTATAAGCCGTATAGCCCTGGGAATTAAGGAGGAGTTGTCTTCACCCTCTTTCTCTCACAGACTCTTTTGAGCTGAGTTGCCTCTTGCTCCTCTTGAATGTAGCCCCTCCCTCTTGGGAATCCAGACTGCAGGTGGTCCTCAACATACGACCACAATTGAGCTGCAGTGATCATAAGTGTGAAAAATGGGGGGGAAAGCGATTGTAAATCACTTTTTTCCAATACTGTTTGTAACTTCGGTCACTAACTGAACTGTTGTAAGTCAAGGAGTACACTTCCACCACAACTGTGTAAGAGCCCTACAGTTGCCACTTGCAAACCTACCCAACTACAGTCAAGGCAGGAAAACAACTAGGAGTCTCACCTGATTTTCTTGGCAAGTTTTCCTAGCGGGGGAATCCTGGGAGTTGAAGTCCACTCCTCTTCATGGCACCTCCTCCAGGCTTCCTGGGAACGCCCCCAGGGCAGCGGCCAATAGGAAGCGAGGCGAACGCGGCGAAGTCTCAACGTTCTAATCTAAGCGACCTCTTCGGAGGCGCGCCCGGGACAGGCGGTGAGCCGGTGGGCTCAAGCGGGGAAGGGGGCGGCGGGGGTCTCCGTTGCAGCGGCCTGTGCACTCCCTCCGGCGGACAGACCTAGATCCCGGCCGGGGCAGAGGGTCCTGGAGGGTCTGTCCCCACGACCCGCAATTCGGAGCGATGCTCGAGACATTCCTTGCTTGGGGAGGAAGCAAGCTGTGACCCCTTTTCACGTGCATCGAAACACGTGAAACTCCGGGGTGGGTTTGCACGTGGGAAGAGGGCGGTGCATGGCCATTCCGGGGCACGCCGCTGCCTCCGGGGTCCCGACTGCGCAGGAGGCAGCTCCGTCTGGATAGCGAAGACCCCTCGCCGCTGGAAGGACGCCCGGCCCGGCTCTTGCCCCGATCGCCTCTCTCGGCCCCGGCCTGATGGCCAGGCAGAGCCGCCTGCAACGCGAAGTGCTCCTCCTCTACCGGCAGTTCCTGCGCGCCTGCCGAGGCAAGCCGGGCTTCCTGCCGCGAGTGCAGGCCGAGTTCCGCCGGGCTGCCCGCATCCCGCGCACCGACGTGCTGCTCATCGAATACCTGCTGCGCCGCGGGCAGAGGCAGCTGGAGCAGCTCCGGGAAGGGCACGCCACAAGGATGGGCTTCTTCGTCCCGGGGAAGCCGCCGCCGCAGCAGCAACAGGAGGAGGACGCGCAATCCTGAGCGGAGGATCGCTCTTCGTGGCGCGCGGCCAGGCGCGCTCGCTGCAGACAACCCGGAGGGCCGGAGGCGGGGGGGGGGGCCAGGGGGCCTTGCGGAGGCTGTTGAGAAGCAGCTGGTCTCTCCGGAGTTGTGTGGATTGCGTCCGTGTGTGCGTTTGAAATTGGAATTTGCAGCTTGAGTCCCGGCTGAGACTTCTCAGAAGATCCCGCAGCTCCCCATCCAGCCCCGTCCCTCTTTCCGTGGGAGGGGGACAGCCGTCACGTCTGCACGGGAGGCACAGCAAGCTTCCACTTGGCATTCTTGTCCCGATGTTACCGAGGGTTCCCCCCCCCTGCAGGAATCCCTTCCAAGCCGGTGTAAACCTGGTACACGGGGATGGGGGGGGGGAAAGGGCGTGAACAATGGTCCTGGAGAAACCATGCTGGTTGGTTTGGGTCAAGCTTTCTCCACTTGGAACTGCAGACAACAGAAAAGAAGAATGGGCATGAAAAGGATTTCTCTCTCTCTCTCTTTTAAAACACTCCAGCAGAAATATTGTTAAACCTTTGCAACCTGGGCCAGCAAGTGTTATCTTTTGACAATAGTGGCTAAATGGCTGTTTTCTGGGTTTTTTGTTTGGTTTAACATTTTTCTCTATATTTATTAATTGTATTCCGTTGTTATTTTTTTTTTCAATCTGTGAAGGAATTTTTGAACAAAACCCAAAACTGTTATTGCTAATTTGTGTGCAGTATTTATTCTAGTTGTGTTTTGGATTGCAGTCTGTTGTAAAGGGATGTTCTAAACTATGGTAGATGATTCCAGCATTTTCAACAAGGAAGTTACCATTATGGTATAATAAATAACTGGTTCCACTCCAGGGCTTCAGAAATCTTATAATTAAGATGTCAACATGTCCCTCCAGGGTAGCAGAATAAATGAATTGAAGGAAGTTCCTGGGATTATTTTTTTTCCAACATTAAGTGGAGTTTTTACTTTTATAGCATTTTAATCTGGCTACAAATTCCACGTAAGCTATAAATGGCTAATATGCAAGGTGGAAATGCAGTTATCCGTGTTCTGCTGCTACGAATCTCAAGATTGTATCAGGCTGCTGCATCCTTTGCAAGTCAAAACCGATACAAGACAGGTCAGTGCATGCTAAAAATGCACCACCCACCCAGGCGTGGATTTTTTTTGTGGGTGTGGAAGGTTTAGAAACCAAAGGAGGTGAGTTCTAGTCCTGCCTTAGGCATGCAAGCCATTTGGATGACCTTGGGGTGTTGTGCTTCCTGTAAGACCACCACACAGGGTTGTTGTGGGGAAAATGGGAGTCAAGACAGGCACTTTGGGATGTTTGTTTAAAGGTTTTACAAGTAATCTTCAATTTAGAGCTATAATTTGACTCCAACATTTCTATTGCTAAATGAGTCTGTTGTTAAATGAGTTTTGCCTCATTTTACGGCCTTTTTTGCCACAGTGGTTAAGTTAATGACTGCATTTTAATTGTTAAGTGAATTAGGCTTCCCCATTGACTTTGCTTGTCAGAAAGTAGCAGAAGGATCACATGACCCCAGGACACTGCGACCGTCATAAGTATGAGACCAGTTGTCAAGCATCTGAATTTTGATCACGTGAAAATGCTGCAAGGGTCATAACTCTGGGAAATGGTCATATAAGTCACTTTTTCAATGCTGTTGTAACTTTGAACAGTGACTGAATGGTTGTTAAGTCAAGGACTCCCTGTGTATAGTTAAACATTAGGAAGAAGATGTGAAAGGCCGGCCTTGAAACTTTGTTCCCTGGTCCCTGGATTCACTGCTGGCATATAATAAACCTGCACAATCTGCCAATAGTTTATCCAAGATCCCGGGGATGAGGATACAGTGTCTTAAAAAATGGGGAAAATAAGTCCCCCCCAATGAAAAACGCCCGATTTGTCATGCAAAGACCTAAAAAATGAGAATGACTTTCATTGGATTCGTGGCACTTTTCGCAGCGCTCGTGTCGGGGTTGAGAGAGGGCGGTTCCACCTTTTGCCTCCTATTCCAATTGGGAACTACATCTACCAGCATGCATTTCCACCCGAAACCTGCAAGAGCAGGACCGGAGGCGGTGTGTACTTATGGGCTGAGTCCCGCCCCCTTCCAAACAAACAGCAGCCTCAGCCAGTGGCCTTTCGAGCAACGCCCGCTTGTCTCCGCACTTATCACGGCTAGTCCCACCCACCGCGCCTGACGTAACTGGAGACCGAGGTATCCTATCCCCAGAGCGGCTCCGGGCCTCCTCCTCGCCATGGCGTTCGGCGGCGGTTGGTGGGGCCGGGTCGCGGTGCGGGCCAGGCGAGCCGGCGAGCTGCTGAGGGGAGAGGCCTGGCCGTGGCTACGGAGGCCGACGAGGCCCAACTCCGGCCGCGGCGCGGTCCTCCCGCCCGCTTCCGAGCTGGACAAGGCGGACGCCTGGCTGCTCCGCAAGAGTCACGAGACCGGTGAGGAGGGGAGGGCGGGGCTGGCGGATGACGTCACGGGGCGGGGCTGGACGGTTACCTGGCAGCTGAGCGAGTGTGCCACAGTTGCTGCCCCCGCGGGGCATGATGGGAATTGCAGTCTATCAAAGTTGGGCTTTTTCCTTTTGTCAGCCTATAAAAATATACACACATTAAAAATAATTTGATATCAGGTCAATAGTTTAAGATCAAAGCTAGTATATAAGCAATATTTTTATATGAACGGCAGCAGTTCTTTTTCTCAATATTATATTTATCATTATATTTAAGCTAGCCAAATAATTCAATGCCTTCAATATCGGCCTCCTAAATTGCAATGAATACTGCTGATTTTTTTTTTACTTTTTTTCTCTATTTTCAATATTGTGTTAATTAGATAGTAAAAAATAATCTCTAATCATGTCATATAAGCATCATTGTGCTGAGACAATGCCAGGCATCAAGATTTATTTAAAAAAATAATTAAACAATTAAATGCAGATTCCACCTTCCTCCCCCCCCTTATCCCAATCCTTCCCTCATCTTTTAATTGTAGCTGATAACTTGTACATTTATAGGGTTTTATTCTTATTGTGTACATGCTATTGTATTGTTCTATTCTTTTGACCAATGTAAGCCACTCAGAGTCACCTCGTGGTGAGATGGGCATCAAAAATTTAATAAGTAAATAAGTAATGAAAAGGGGAAAAATAAGACAGTGATTCTGTGTACGGCCTCTCAGAAGACCCTCCCTGGAATAACCTAAATTTTATAGATAATATTAGATGGATGGGTGGGTAGACAGATGATAGAGAAATAGTTTAAGAGAGAGATACATAGATAGATAACAGGCACAGATGGCTAGATGACAGATAGATAGATAGATAGATAGATAGATAGATAGATAGATAGATAGATAGATATAGATGATAGATAGATAGATATAGATGATAGATAGATAGATAGATAGATAGATAGATATAGGCATAGATGGCTAGATGATTTTATATTTATATTGTATATATGAGAGATTTTATATTATATATATATTATATATGAAAGAGATAATAAATAGTTTAATAGGTAGGTACATAGATACAGGCATAGATGGCTAGATGATACATAGACAGACAGATAGATGGAGGATAGATGATAGTTTAATAGAGATAGATAGATAGATAGATAGATAGATAGATAGATAGATAGATAGATAGATAGATAGAATAGATGATAGATGAAAGATAGGTAAATGATAGACAGGCAGACAGATAACTATGCTGGATGGATGAATGGATATGCAGAGCTAATTGTGAAACTCTCCCCTTTCTCCCTTTCCGTCAGCCTTCCTATCCTGGTTTCGGAATGGGCTGCTGGCTACGGGCATTGGCGTGATTTCCTACATGCAGAGCGACATGGGGCGGGAAGCGGCCTATGGTGAGTGATCTGGAGGCCCTTCGGCCTGGCTGGGTGCCCAGAGGTAGCTTGGCCACAACTGTCCCCCTTCAGCATCTGGGCAGCTGCGGCTCCCGTGGGCAGGATGGCTGGACAGCCAGGTCCACCTTTTGGCCTTCACCTAGTTAACGACGGGTCTTCCTCTCTGCCCACGTTTCCCCTTCAGGTTTCTTCATCCTCGGGGGAATCTGCGTCTCGTACGGCAGCGCCTCCTACTTCGTCAGCCTCCTCCTCCTCCGTCGCACCATGATGCTCTCCTACTCGGCCGCTCTCCTGAACTCGGCCGCCGTGGTGAGCGTGGCCCTCTTCTGGCTGTGCGCCATCTCCCTCTACATCGGCCGGCTGGAGGTGGAAATCATCCAGGAGGACGTCAGCGACAAGAGGAAGGAGGACGACAAGGGCGAAAAATGAAAGCTGGAGCAATTCTTCTGGACTCCACGAGACTCTACGGACGATTCGGAAGGGACAGCTCCACAGCGGTTGGGCCGGATGGAGCATGGAGGAAGGAAGGAAGGAAGGCAGGCTGGGTGGGTCTCCTGCACGCGAGAGACCAGCGAAAGGGCCGGCTTTCAACTCATTTCAAATTTTTCCGGATGGGATGGCAAGGAAGGAAGGGCTTTTAAACCACCTTCTGGGCAAAGGAGCTCTCCGGAAGCATGAACTCTTGCTACTTAAGGATCTTGGATGCTTTTCATGAGTGGGCCTGCTTTGCAAAACCCCCTCCCCTCGCTTTCTGCTTCAAGCCGGTTTTCTGGTTTCAGAGATATATATACACACACGTGTGAATAAAAGCCAATTCTGGGAATGTCTTCTGCATAGCTTGCTTTGGCTTGTCCGCCCTCGCTTATGCTCCTGACTTTTTCTCTGTCGGACATGTCTCGCTTCTGTCATCGGGCTAGCTGCTGCTCCGGACAGTGGACATTTATATTAAAGACACCCAAAGAAACTTTTGTGTACTTTCTTGTTTTTTTTGTGGGAGAAGGCAGTGGGGTCTGTTTTGAAGATGTGTTTTTGAAGTAAGGATTGCCCCCATTCTTCCGTGCAAAAGCAAGGGAGGGTCTTGAGGGGGGGGGAGGTGGGAGGCTCTGTGAAATACAGGTGGTCCTCGCCTTACAACAGCTTGTTTAGTGACTGTTTGAAGTTACAATGGCGCTGGAAAAAATGACTTAGGACCGTTGCGGCATCCCTTAAGAAAGGTCGTAAAATAGAGCAAAACTCATTTGTGGTCGTAAGCCGAGGACTAACTATAGTACAGTCTTGCTGGCATTGTCGCTGGAGGGGGAAGATTTCGTGCAGGTGAGCTTGTTTAGCTGGTTCTGTGCTCACAATTTACTGCGATCCCTTTAAATTTCACCCGTGTTGAATTGCAGGAAGCTCACTTGGGACACGTTTGATCTAGATCAGTTGTGGGTTTCCCTAAAATGAGGCTTATAATGGGTTAAGTCATCAGGACCTTTCAACAGCTGGGGGGTCAGGAGGACCCCTTTGGAATAGGAATCTGTCAGGCCAAAATTCAGACAAGACACACGACAAAACAGCTTTTTCAACCTGCTGAAATCATTTGAGTAGGCAGGAAAGAATTCTGTTTATTTTTAATGTTCTCTCGAGTCCTGGATTGCCAAAAGAAGCCGCAAAATGTCAACAAGAGATTATAGCTACCTTCGTCTACCCGATGCGAACAGCAGATTAATAAAAGGGAAGAAAAAAACAAAAACAAAACACAAGACACGTACAGTTCTTTAGCAACGAGTTACAGAGGGAGGGGGGGAAATTCACATTATCCAAGTGCTGCAATCTTCGGTGGGCGCCCTCCGTTTCCCACTAGATCTGTACAGTAGTCCTTGACTTAACGACCAAATTGAGCCTGAAATTTCGGTTGCTAAGCAAAAGATAGTCACTGAGCTTTGCCTCATTTTACAACTTTTGCCACTGTTGTAAAGCGAATCACTGCAGCGGTTAAATTAGTAAGCCGGTTGTTAAGTGAATCTCAGCTTCCCCGTTGACTTTGCTTGTCAGAAGTTCACCTGACCCCGGCCCGCGGCAACCCATCGTAAATACGAGTCCGTTGCCAAGCGTCTTAATTTGAATCACGTGACCCTGGGGATGCTGCAACAGTTGTATGTGTGAAAAACAGTCGATAAGTCACATTTTTCAGTGCCATTGTAAGTCAAGGACTCCCCGTACAGTTTATTTTGAATAAGTGCTTAAAGTTACAGCATTTGCTTTCTTACTACTCCAGGACCATCTTTACCCGCGTTGCCGTGACTCGCCCCTTTTCTAAGCCCGCTTTGCATCCGGGTCCAGCCCTTCCCTGCTGTGCCTTTAATACACAGGAATTGGGGAAAGGATTGGAAAAGCTGCATTTGCATAAAAAGAGGAACAAGGGTAGCTTTGCGGAGGGGCCAGATCTAAAAGACCACCTAGATTATTAAGTGTCAGTGAAGAACCTCAAACGATCCCTTAACAGGGAGGCAGCATTTTGCTCCCGTGCAATTGCTGGATAGCTAGAACTTCAGTTCAATAGCCAACTGTTATTAAACAATTAAACAGAACAATTTAATAGCTCAGGATTGAATTGATATCACTGGAAAACCAGGTCTACATCCAAGTAACACATTGGGTGATGTGTGTATGACAGGAGTCTGTGGGCATCTTAAGACCTGTGGATTCCAACTCCCAAAACTTTAAGACTCGTGGACTACAACTCCCAGAATTCCCCAGCCAGCTATGCTGGCTGGGGAATTCTGGGAGTTGCAGTCCACGAGTCTTAAAGTTGCCCAGGTTGAACATCCCTGATGTAGAAGCACAAGCAGAAGCTGGAGGTGGAGTCAAGAGAGGAATCAGCCTGGAATCGATACGTTCTCACAAATGGTCCAGGTTCAACTCTTTTTGAATTCCGCTAACTCTTTTCCAGCTCCAATTTAGTGCTGACCATGAATTGACTACAGATTCTTCCATATAGGTACGAGGAATAAATCTGCTTAACTAGAACTTGACCTGTAATCTTGCTTCTTCGCCCGACCACGGAGAACATGGCATGTGCTGTGTGTTTAACTCGGCCACCCACCCATGATCTTACGATGGGTTCACAAGTGTTTTCATCACTTGCTCCAAATCTGTGGGAAGAACGAGAGCGCCTCTTTCTGTCAAAACTGAACGCAAGGAGTCGAGTCAACCCCCGTCACGGGCTGCCTTCCAAACGTATCCAACTAATTTCCTTAAGGGATAATTCCCTTATTCCCTCTCCGAGGCCAAGGTCAGCATATCTGGAAAGTCCATGTTGGAAAAAGCTGTCGATTTGCCCAGCAAGACCACAGGGCAAAGTTCCTAGGAGGGTAAGTTCACACGCCTATTTATTACATCCGTTTGATTTATCCTCCTGGATTTGATCATATTGCATATTTTAAGAATTAATTCAGCGCGAGCAAAAAAAGTTAACTGCTGGTGTGACAGCCTGGAATAAACACATTTAGGAGAGGCATTGCGGGCAAAGACTGCCTACTTTTCATTGGCACATAAATGCAGGTTATATTTGACAACTGACAAACCCCCTTCCCCTAAGTCTTTAAAATCAGTCAGGGTGTAGCAGCAGGAACACAGGTATGTGGGAGATGCCCCTTAATACGTCTGTGGGTCTTTTTTCCTGGACGTTTGGACAGGTTTTCCACGCTTCTCCAAGCAAAATCCTCCATTTCAACCAACCACTGATCTTCCAAAGACGGAGTCGGTCCATCCGCTCTCCTTTGCCCCGAGGACTAGGAAAGGGATGCGATAAGCAGGTACGTGGTTAGCCACTTCTTCCAGGATTAAAGATTTCTTCACCCAGTTTCGCAAAGGCTGGTGAGCACCCCAGCACGGAACCGAGCTATCTCAAGATTTGATAGCTCTCTTCCAGGCAGGATTCAACCGTGGTTCTCTGGGCAAAGAAGACACCAATTTGATCACGGACCGTCGATGGGTGTTAATCCTCCTTGCGTTCCAGAGCTGGCCCGCTGTGGATCCCACCACTGGCCACGGAGAAGGGCAGGGTGGAAAACAAAGAGTCAGCGGCAGTAAAGGCCCCTCCCGAAATCTGGGCCAAACTAGCCGAGTTCCCAAAGGGGGCCACCATGTTAAGTCGCTGCAGGTGGTGGTACATGATCTCCCGCGAGGTCTTGGCCTCGGCACTGCCGATGTCCATGAGGCTGAGGGGGTGGTGGGAAGGGGGCAGCATGTTGCTCGGCATGGCCAGGGTCATATCTGCAGGGGCGTAACGGATGGTGCTCGTGGCGTAGAGTCCCGGGGAGCCCGCTGAGGAGCTGGCGTGCGGATTGCTGAGTTGATGCATCAAGGGGACAACCACGTTGCTCGTGTGGAACCTCTGGAGAACTTCCATCTCCGTTGGGTAGATCAGTGGGGTGAAGGGGGTGGCGGTCCCCCGGTCCTCACAAGGGGAGCCCGAGAGCGGAGGCGAGAGTGTGTCCCCTGAGGAGGACGGAGCCACCCGGGGAGAGGTGCTGAAAGGCCCCTTGACCGGACCGCTGTCCATCTCGGGAGGGGTGAGCACAGAGTCGGGAATGGAGACGAACAAATGTGAGGGTGCCTGTCTCACTAGGGGCTTCTCCAGCCGAACGGCTTTGTTTTTGGGGAAAGGGCTGCCCTTCCCTCCAGGACAGGTCCAGAGACCCCCTTTGGCCCGGGGTCCTTGCTCCGATTTGATGCTAAGGGCTGGGCTGGCTCTGAGCGAGGCGCCCTTTTGGGTCTGGATGACAGAGGTGAACTCCGACATGCAGGGACGGCCGGGAACCATGGTCTTCCGTCCGCCGGGCTTGCAGCCATTCACCTTCCTGGCCAGGGGCCCCGCCTGTTGGGGGACCATCTCGGGCTCCGAATCGCTGCTGCTGTCGGAGTCCTCGGAGCTAGCCAGCAAGGTCTCCCCCTTCCCCTTGGGTGGGGGGCTCTCCAGCGGGAACTCCAGTTTGATCCGCTTCCTCGGGGGAGTCTTTGTGTCACTCCCAGCCTCTTCCTCCAATGCCTCCTCCTCCTCCTCCTCCTCCTCCTCCTCCTCTTCCAGGTATTTGGTTTCAGGACCCCTGGACTTGCTCTCCACCAGGTGGCAGTGCCGACCCATTTCGGCCACGCTCCTGGGGTAGGACTGGGCCAGGGTCCCCGCTGGCTTGCTGGCTGGGCACGGCTTTCCCCGGTCACTCTCTGAAAGGGGGAAAACGGGGAGTCAACCAAACAGGGAATGTCCCAACCATCAATGGACCTGGCAGTGGAGGGAAATTCAGGTCCCTTTGCTAACTGGAATAAAACGATGGAATAAAACGATGGCCTTTGGTAAGACCCTCGCTTGGTAGTCGGGGTCCAGTTTTGATACAAAAAAGATGTTGAGACTCTAGAAATAAAGCAGAGAAGGGCAACAAAGACAATAAAGCAGGGGTGTCCAATCTTGGCGACTTTAAGACCTGTGGACTTCAACTCCCAGAATTCCCCAGCCAGCACAGCTGGCTGGGGAATTCTGGGAGTTGAAGTCCACAGTCTTAAAGTTGCCAAGATTGGACACGTCTGTGATAAAAGGTCTGGAGGCTAAACCATATGATGAACGGTTGCAGGAACTGAGTGTGCCTAGACCAGTGTTTTCCAACCTTGACAATTTTAAGGCATGTGGACTTCAACTCCCAGAATTCCACAGCCAGCAATGCTGGCTGTGGAATTCTGGGAGTTGAAGTCCACATGCCTTAAAATTGTCAAGGTTGGAAAACACTGGCCTAGACTAATGACCTTTTCTCCCCCTCCCCAAAGTCTCTTCCACCAGCAGGGCACCGTCAAAAGGGGGCACCCTCTCGCAGGCCGTTCCAGGACATTTACCTTTGTAATCCGTTCCCGCGCTGGGCGCTTCTGTCTGTCTGGCGGGGATGCCAGGAACCTGGAAAACATCCAGGGCAATGTTCTTACATTCCGGCTTGCTGGAAAAGATGAAAAAAATATAAACAGCCGGGGGTTACAATTGTATTTATCTGCGTCATGCTGTTTTTCTTCTTTTAAATTTTGCTGGTCATGGACCTAATACATTTTTATTGACTGTGTTGCAAAGGGCAATCCACCACTTGGAGGCAGCAAAGCCCCTTCAAGCCGGCCCCTCCCCAAGCTAAAGAAATGCAAATTTCCCCCTGATTTGTAAATGTAAGAGATTGCAAGAGAGGCAAAGGATTAAAATAACCACCAGGGCGCTCATTCTGCCTGCTGGCTGATGAATCAGAAAAGATCAGCCGAAAAGTCCACTTGAATGGGACTGACACAGCCAGCCACCTGCAGCTGGAAGCAGCCAAAGGAACAGAAGTGGAGGGGCCAAGTTGTCCCATTGTCCAAGAACAAACAGAGACAGATTAAAATCACAAACTCCAAGAAAGAAAGAAAGAAAGAAAGAAAGAAAGAAGGAAGGAAGGAAGGAAGGAAGGAAGGAAGGAAGGAAGGAAGGAAGGAAGGAAGAAAGAAAGAAAGAAAGAAAGAAAGAAAGAAAGAAAGAAAGAAAGAAAGAAAGAAAGAAAGAAAGAAAGAAAGAAAGAAAGAAAGAAAGAAGTCGGACAGGGAGATTCATTGTTATATGAGCGGTATGGAAAGGTTTCAAATATGATTTTGTACAAATGCCGCCAGAATTGTAGGAAATAAGAGGCAACAAAGTGATTTTCTGCTTGTCAGAGCAATTCTGGACCAAGATTTGGGACTTTTATGATCCAGAACTGATTCTGATGACTGGGGAATTCTGGGAGTTGAAATCCACAGTCTTAAAGTGGCCACGTTCAGAGACCTCTGCTTTAAGGAAGACTAGACAGAAGACTTTGGCTGCTCATGCCCAACTGCAACACACACACACACACACACACACACACACACACAAACACACGGAACTGACTTATTCATCTGTTTATTAACCAGATTTATACACTCCCGTTCTCACTACCTCCATGACCGCTTAGCAGCTACAGTCTCCAAATCTATTAGAGGCTGCAGAGATTCAGTGGAGGCGGAACCCACCCACCCCTTTGATGCCTTTTTTGATAAAAAAAAAAAAAAAGTTGGTCAGTGACTGTAGAATTGCAAGGTGGCCAACCAGCTTGGACTGTCACTGAGCTCCATTTGCTATTATTTCACCCCCAAACCTTGGATCCCCCCCAAAGAAAACCCCTCTGTTTTGCAGCCCCCCCCCTCGCTTCCCTCCAGCGACGGGACCCCCAATAATCCCACCCAGGCCCCCCCCAGTGTAAAGTTTTACAGCAGCTGTGGGGAGAGGGAGGCGAGCGGGCTTCCAGGCAGGGAGGCTGCTGCAAGAAAGTTAATTAGGCTCTAATTACAGCTCTAATTAACTAAAATACTAATCACTCTGACAAATCATACATTAGTATCGGCAATTGCTTGCCGGATTAGCATAAGAATGCTTCCTTTGGCTTTATGGAGAGGGAAAAGGCGAGCAGGGCCATTAATAACCATCTGGACCGGCCATTCACACAGCCCTCTTTTATGCCCGCAAAAAAAGGCTCAGCAGAGGAGATTCTGTAGTTTAAAGGGTCCAGCTGGGTGGGGAGGGTCCGAAGGGTGGGGGGGGGCAGCAAAACTGGGGTTAGGACAGAGTAGGACTCAGAGGGGAGCCCCAATGGTGCACGGGTGGAGGGAATCCAGAATCTAGAATTGTGGTGGTCTGCATTTCTTTTTCTTTTTTTAAACAACCTCCCGCCCCCAAATGAAGAAATCTAGCACAGCAGGGAGGAAATTCCTCTGCAGGGCTAGCTTTCTGCTTTAAGGGAATTGGCCTTTTCAGGTGGAAAAGAACAAGGTGCCCACTTGAAAGAGATTGGGGCCAAATTTGGCTGAACCGGCTGCATCCACCTCAGTGAATACAGGCGTCCTCACTTTACGAGCACAACCGAGCCCCCAAATTTCTGTGGCTAAGCAAGACACTTGTTCAGTGAAGTTTTGCCCCATTTTATGACCTTTCTAGCCACAACGGTTAAGTCAATCACTGCAGTTGTTACGTTAGTAACACAAGTTGTTGAGTGGATCTGGCTTCCCCATCGAATTTGCTTGTCGAAGGTCGCAAAAGAGGATCACGTGAACCCAGGATGCTGGAACTGTCATAAATATGAGTCGGTTGCCAAGGGTTTGAATGTTGATCACGTGACTGTTTGGATTCCGCAACGGTCTGGCTGTGCTGGCTATGGAATTCTGGGAGTTGAAGCCCACAAGTCTTAAAATTGGCAAGGTTGGATTGGAAGACCATCCGCCTTCTCACACTCACCTGAGGATGTAGTTCACCCACACCATGTTCCTCTCGGAGGGATTCTTGACATTGATCGAGATGGTGGCGCAGGACTGGACCCAGACGAAGCCCCCGCTCTTCTGCAGCCAGCGGTAATAGCGGGTGACCACCTGCCCCTTGTTTAACACTAAAGGGGGTGGAGAAAGAAGAGGGTCAATCTTGGCCAAGACTCAACATAGCTACACGCTCGACCCAGACTGTGTAACGTCCAGGCGATTTCCTTACAGCCGAAGTTGTGCCTACCCCTGCTCTGGGGCAACCTAGCAAGGGGCCCAGAGTCCATAAATCCCAACCAGCCATTGCACCCTTCTTGGGGCCACGTACAGTCCAGGTGGCTCTGCTGGATCCCCTCCACGTCTTCTCCATGAATGAAGCGATAGCAGCTTTTCCCAACAAGTTCTGAGGGACACAAGTCCATGTAATCGGAGATCCTGGAGGAGAGAAGAGAGAGGGGACACTGTGGACCAGAAACTTTTGACTTTGGTTTGGATTTAAAGGAGACACAGAGCCTGGTCAAGGTCCTGTAGATGGTCCGGAAGGGTAGTTGACCTGCACTCCCTTCTCCATGGACTCAATCAAAATGCACTCCATCTCTAAGGAGGGACAGGAAGGTTTCTGCCCAATCTTGAGTATGTGGACAGGGAAGGATCTTAGAACCATAGAATTGGATTGGGAATCTTCACACCAGTCCAATCTTTGTTTGAGAACCTCCAGGAGACAGACGGGTCTTCTGCTTTCTAGCTTTTATGGTCAATGAGAAGCTTCCCCCCCCTCTCCAAGTCAGTGAGGTCTACTTGATGATGGGCAGAGCACTCCCACAAAAGAGCAGGAAACGTGGTCATCAGACGTCACCCAACTTTGGCATCAGGGGGGTCACCCAATTTGGTCATCAGGAATCACCCAACCTGGTCATCAGGGGTCACCCAACCTGGTCATTGGGTCACCAAATTTGATGATCAGGGATCACCAAACTTGGTCCTCACCAAAGCTGGACTGTGGATTACAAAACATGGCTTAGTGGGCCAGTTCCAGTCTGGGCTGAGTCAGCCTGTGGTAGAAGTTGCAATTCACAGCTAGTGTCCATCCCCAAATGTGACAGGTTCTGTACCCACCATGTGCCCTGCTGGGCTTCCCTTTCGCGTCTGGTTTTTAAGCCCCCCTGCAAGTGTCCAGCCTCCCCCCCACCGCCAGGACAGGCCAGAGTCCAGCTGTCCCCTTCACCCACCTGCTCTCACAGTACACGATCTGTAGGTCCATGTTGACCCGGAAAACGAACATGTGACATTCAATGCGCACCTCGCTGAGGGTGGAGGGCGGCAGGGTGTGGGCCAGCGCTACAAGTCCCAGCACCCGGCCCAGCACTGAGTGGCCGTGGGAATGTGACGGTCGTCTGGAACGGAGACAGCCCGTGACATGGATCACCTGGAGGGCAAAAGAGGGCCACAGAGTGGATCAGGGGCCACGGATAGATGCCACATCCCAAAGGGGACCCTAAGCAGTCCTCCAATTACGACCAGTCATTTAACAACAGTTTGAAGTTAGGACAGCCTCGGAAAAAGCAACTTTTAACCTGTCCTCAAAGTTACCACCGTCACACCAACCCTGGCGTCACATGATCGCAATTTGGGCACTTGGCAACTGACTCGCTTTTATGTCTTACAATCACATGGTCCTGATTTGCGACTTTCCCAGCCAGCTTCTGACAGAGTGACCTCGGGAGGCCGGATTTGTTTGGTGACCGTGTGAGTCGCTTAATGACCGTGGTAAAAATGGTCATAAATTGGGTTCGGTTACATGATGATTCATTTAGCGACTGCATTACTTAGCAACTGAATTTCTGTTTGTAAGTCAAGGACTACCTGAGTGAAACCGAGGAGCCCCCCCCCCCGGGAACAACGACGGTTTTTAGAAGAGGTCCCATTTCTCCCGGCTGGAAGTGGGACGGAGGATCGGAGACCCTCTTCCTGCAAAGATGGCCCCTTCCTCATTCTCTAAATTCTGGCAGAAGGGCTACTCAAGTCCTTCATCAAATGAGAGACTGGTCAAGAGCAGGGGTCTCCAACTGTGGCCACTTTAGGACTTCTGGACTTCAACTCCCAGAATTCCCCATCCACAGCAGTTTCTCAAGCGTGAAAATTTAAAAAGATGGAGAATTCTGGGAAATGGAGTCCACTCATTTTCCAGTTCAACAGCATGCTAGCCAAGGAATTCTGGGAGATGTAGTCCACACATCATAAATGTTTGCTAGCCTGCTGACTGAAGAATTCTGGGAGTTGTAGTCCACAAGTCCTAAAGTCGCCAAGTTTGGTGACTCCAGTCAAGAGCAAAGATGAGTCAATCTCGCATTCATCTGCTGCACCTACTGCTGGGAGGGGGCCACCCATGCAGACCCCAAAAGTTTGCTTCCTTTTGAACAGGAGCTCTGTTTTCAAATGTCACCTCTAAATGTCAGATCAAGCCTATCGTGCTTGACTTTGATGACCTGCTTCTCCTTTTGAGGCATCACCTTGTCCTGTTCCCACGTTCCCCCCACTCCAGCCCCCAAATCAGGGTGGGAGCGCCCATTATACCTTATAGCCCGAAGTCTTGATGTGAAGTCCTCTCTTGGTCAAAGTGGACTTCAGACGGATGAAGAAGGAACGCTCCAGGGCTCCATCACCTTCGGCTGTGCGGGAACTAGAAAGATCTAGAGATAGATAGATAGATAGATAGATAGATAGATAGATAGATAGATAGATAGATAGATAGATAGATAGATAGATAGATAGACAGATAATTAGATAGATAGATAGATAGATAGATAGATAGATAGATAGATAGATAGATAGATAGATAGATAATAGATAGATAGATAGATGATAGACAGATGATAGACAGACAGACAGACAGACAGACAGACAGATAGATAGATAGATAGATAGATAACCTTTATTGTCATTTTTTACTGTGAGTACAATAGCACACATTAAAAATGAAATTTAGTTTCTGGCTCTCAAAGTGTACACATACATAACGCCCATTTAAACATACTATACACAACACATGCATAGATCTACACCCTTACATATAAGTAACTTATAAACATTATTCACTGCCCATCTTGAATACATCACGGAAGGAGGAAGCTTGAGACTTCACAAGGTTAATACTGCATGGAACAAAACTGTGACTGAGTCTGGATATTCTGCTTTGGATACTCTGAAGCCCCCTCCCCCCAGAAGGTAACAAAGAAAATAAAAGCACAAGTGGGATGTGTGTGTGGGTGTGTGAGAGCATCACGGTTTCTGTGTGTGCCACAAGTGTGCCCAGGGAGAAAAGAAGGACCAAATTAGTTCACTCAAAGCTTCAGCAGAATCCCATAATGGGCATAATATTCATATCCCTGGATCTACCATGGACAGAGAACATCTGAATGGGTCTTTTTCGTGCGGCACCATCGACGCTTCCAGGCCAAGGGGGGCAAGTCTGCCCGATTCAGGCCAAGGGAGCGAGGCGTGGGGGACCCTCAGCCAAACCCCGGATGGACGTCTCCTTCTTCTGACAACTCGCTCTTGACAGCCAGCTGATCTGGCATTCTCTTTCAGTTGCCATCTTGGCATCAATCTTTAACAAGTTCCGCGGATGAAAGCAAAGCCGGCAACAATCCAGGGCAGGAGAGGGGGAGACCCCAGGGACTACCTCTTCCCCCCTGCCTGTGGGGGGGGGGGAAGGAGGGCAGAAGAAGGGGAGGTGAAGCTGAGACCCCCTCCCCAGGCCCAGGGACAATGAAAGGTCAGATCGGGCACCGAGAGGGGCACAGCGCCTCACCCCTGGGAGCACCCCAACTCCTCATCAGACCACCGTGAAGAGGCCTGGTCTGGATGAAGGGTGCGTAGGGCCCATCAGAACAAGGCAGCCCCCTCTTCGGCTGGGGATGCGGCTGATCAAGCCATGATTTATTCAAGCCGAGTTTTAACGAAGCTGCTGCTGGCTGGGTTCAGACATACAGGGGGGGGGGTCCTGATCTTACAACTGTAAATTTAGTGACCGTTCAAAGTTACAACGGCACTGAAAAAAAGGGACTTTGGACCAGTTTTCATACTTATGACCGTTGCAGCATCCCCAGGGTCACATGATCAGAATTCGGACACTTGGCAACTGACTCGTATTTATGACAGTCCCTGTGTCCTGAGGTCACGTGATCCTCTTTTGCGACCTTCTGGCAAGTAAAGTCAATGGGGAGGGCGGATTCATTTTACAACCGTGTTACTAATGTAGCAACTGCGGTGATTCACTTATCCACGGAGACAAGAAAAGTCGTAAAATGGGGCTAAGTTCACCTAATACATGACTCACTTAGCCACATAAACGTAGGGCTCCATCGTGGTCGTAGGTCCAGGTGATAAACCGAACAAGCCACGTCCTGGGGTCTAGAATATGATGGCTTGTGGGAGTTCTGTTAGGCAAGATCCAGACCAGACCAGAGGTAACAGGGCATCTCTGAGCATGCGCGAAGTGCTTCCTGACTCAACAGATGGCCAAACGACCTCCAAGCCTGCTTGAGCAACTGGGGGCTTCCCAGTTCCCGGGGGGGGGGGAGTGTAACAGAGAGGCTGTACCTGATTGAGGACCCTCAGAGGAAGCGCCCAGGAGGGAGGCTTTGGGGTGGGGGGCGTGACCAAGGCCCAGGGGAGCCTTCAGCCCCAGCTGCTCGGCCACTTCGTGGTGGTCCCCCGGGTGGACGTAGTCGAAGATGCTGCTGCCGGTCAGCTCCACCTGGAAGAGCAAGGACAGGTTCAAAGGTCAAGGGGGGACGGTCACCCGGCCTTCACCCGCTCTGCAGTCCACCCAGTCCCACAATCCCCCTCGTCTCCCTGATCTCATTTTGCTCTTTTCTTGCCTGGGGGTGCACAGATGCCTCTGCAGGAACGCCCCCCCCCCATTTCTCTGTCTTCTGCTCCCAGGCTACTCCACTCCCTTGGCAACACCCCCAGAGCCCCGCAAAGAAGTCACATTAAAAGTTAGCCCCGAAGGGGGGTGACCTCCCAACCCAACCCCTGCTTTGAGACCCTGCCCGAGTCCTGATGCAGACCCCTTGCCCGCTTCCAAGACCAAGGGTCAGCGCCTCGGGTTAACATTCCCTGCATTGTAATGCAGCCAGGGCCAAGAGATCGATAAATAATAATGCAGAGCTATTGGCTTCCCCCAGTGAGAGTCGCGTGCATTCAAAGGAGCTAGTCCTCATTAAACATGCACCAGCTACTCCTCGCCTAGGAGAAGTGAGAAAGCCGGAGAAAGGGAGGAGGGAGGGATGGGGGAAAAGAGAGGGGGGAGGAGGGGGGGGTCTCTTTCTTGGTGGGGAGAGCTGACATGGCTGCTTCTAATAGCTGGCAGGGTTTCCAACGCTTCGTGCCCAGCTTCCATTGTGAGGTGGACAAACACATCTGGGGGAGGGAGGCCACTTGGCACAGCGCCTGGCGCTGCGTCGGCCCTCCAGCTCGCACAGATCCGAGTGCGAAAAGCCGCGGGCGCAACTGAGAGCGAGAGCAGCCCTCTGAGTGAGAGAGAGATAGAGAAAAAAAAAAGAGGCCGCTGGAAAAAGCAGCAGTGGGGCAAGAGAAATTGTTTATATTTATTTATTGATATCAATATCAATATATTTATACATTTGTTTACTTGGTTTCTGTAGCTGTCCGTTTCAGGAAATCCCTGGGCAGCTCACCATTTATTTTATTTATTTTATTTATGAGACTTATATACCGCTTTAAGTGCAAGCACTCTCTAAGCGGTGTACACCAGTAAGCAATGTATATATATATATTCTACATTGACCCCAACAATCTGGGTCCTCATTTTACCTACCTCGGAAGGATGGAAGGCTGAGTCAACCTTAAGCCGGTGAGATTTGAACCGCTGACCTGCTGAACACAGTCAGCTAAAGTGGCCTGCAGTACACCATTCAAAACACACAAAGGTAGTTCTTGACTTATGACCTCAACAGAGCCCCAAATTTTCTTGCTAAACGAGACACCCGTTAAGTAAGTGTCGCCCCGTTTTACAACCTTTCTAGCCATAGCTGTTAAATGAATCACTGCAGTTATTAAGCGAGTCACACGGCCGTGAAGTAAACACGGCTTCCCCACTCTCTTTGTTCCCCGGAAGGTCGCCCAAGGGCATCACGTGACCCCGGGACGCTGCAACCGTCATAAGGACGAGTCAGTTTGCCAAGCATCCGAATTTTGCTCACGTGACCGAGGGGAGGCTGCAATGGTCGTTAAGCGTGAAAAACGGTCCTAGGTCGCTTTTTGTCACTTTGTTCACTACACCAGTGTTTCCCAAACTTGACAATTTTAAGGCATGTGGACTTAACTCCCAGAATTCCACAGCCAGCAACGCTGGCTGTGGAATTCTGGGAGTTGAAGTCCACATGCCTTAAAATTGTCAAGTTTGGGAAACACTGCACTACACGAATGATTGTCGAGTCGAGGACTCCCTGTATTACAATTAAAATTTTAAGAAACCTAACAATGAAAAGCATCAGAGCAATTAAAAAAAAACATTAAAACGTCTAATTCGAAGGGCCCTTTGGGGGAAGGACGGGGGGGGAGGAGATGCCAATGGCCAGGAAGCCCGAAGAAAGGGGAGCTGGCGCAAAGGACGTCTCCGGAGCGCCTGGCGAGGTGGACGCGGAGGAGCGGAAGCGCCCGCCTGCCAGGTGGCTGGGCTCCAGCCTGGCATTGTCAGGTTGCTGGGCAGCCAGTAAGACATTCATTGCAGAATGCCCCTTTTCTCCCCGACACTCAGCTGTGCCTGCTTCTCCTGCACCCTCCCAACTGCCCCTACACACACACACACACACACACACCAGGCGCTTCCGGTCTTCCAGGGCAAGGCGCAGCGTCAAAGGCTGCCATCCCCGTGCCGGAGGGTTGCTCCGGGTCTGCAATCCACGCCGGGCGAGCAGTTGGAAGGGCCGATGTAGGCGCTCGCCCTGGGGCTCCGGGCGGGAATGGAGATGCACCTACCAGGCTGAGCCGGGCCGGCACCTCCCTCCCTCCCTCCCTCCCTCAATTGCCAGGCGCGGAGAGATGAGGTGGTCGGCAGATAAATTTAAGAAATAAATCAAGAAAACAAAACAGAACTGAATAGAAGGGTTAGGCTTGAAGAGATCGGTAGTCCTCAACCTAACAATGGTTTGTTTAGTGACCGAAGTTACAACAGTACCAGAAAAAGTGACCTATGACAATTTTTCACACACCTACGACTGTTGCAGCATTTCCATGGTGACGTGATCAAAATTCAGATGCTTGGCAAGTGACTCGTACTTATGGCCGGGTTTTCTTGCGTGTCCAGAAATGGCTCCCTCCCCCAGCCAGCCCTGGGAGGACGGCACGAATTCGGATGACCTCGGCGGAAGACCGCTTATCCTCCAGACGTCCTTCCCATGACTCACCCACCTCCTTAGCAGATGCCCCACATACTCTGCCAGGTGCCCCCTGGAACGAAACAGCTGTCACTCACACATCAGGCGCCATAACAGGGCGGGGGGGGCAGCCCAGGCAGGCACTCAGCTTCTGAAAGCGTCCTTTTCCCCCCTCCCCGTCCTTCGTTTCATCCCCCTCTAATTGCTTAAGGCAAGTGGGCGAGATGAAAGCCCCCCCCCCCCCACGGGCGATATTCGCCCGGTCTCACCTGCTTCTCAAGGTGAAAAGAAGAGAAAACAACCAAAAGAAGGAAAAGAAAAGAAGACGGTAGTAGATTGGAAGGGCAGCTAGGTGGCTTGTTCCCCCCCAAAAGTGAGAAGGGGGTTTCCAGTAGGGTCTTTTGGGACCCACAGGTGTTATTCAACGGCTGAAATGGCAGCTCACAAAAACCTTTTGCCTTTGAGTAAAAAAGGCCACCTGCAAAAGATGTGGCAACGTTCCTGATTTGTGTTTCCTGCAGACTAACACAGCTTTCCTCCTAAAAAAGCATCCACAGCACAGTGGAACTGTGTAGGGTCCACCGTGTTGCTAGCTTAACAACCGCAGTTATTCACTTAACAACCGTGGCGAGAAAGGTCGTAAAATGAGGCAAAACTCACCTAACAAATCTCTCACACAGCAACAGAAATTTGAGGCTCAATTGTGGCCGTTAAGTCGAGGACTACCCATAGTAGGAATGGCACCACAAATAGTCCAAGTTACAACCATCCATTCAACAGCCGTCTGAAGTTACAACAGCCTTGAAAAAAAGGACTTACAACTCAAACACAAGCGAAAAAGAAATGGGGGAGGGAATTGAGGAGGGGGACAATGCTCCCTTCCCAGAATTTGGATCTAAAGCAAATCTGGAATTAAAATCTGAAAGCCACCCCGGAAGGTTATTGACGGGCGAGAGCGACCGACCGGCTCACAAATGGTTACACACGCCGTCCCTTTTCAACTGCTGGTGTACCGGGGCTGATTTGCAAGGCAGATTTTTTTTTTCTTTGCGGAGGGGGTGTTTCTCCTGTGTGTTGAGCACTTCCATAATTCCCCCCCCATCTTTCTTCTTCAAATTCTCCCAAAAGAAAAAGGGGGGGGGGCGATAAACCTTAGCAAATGTCTCTCTGCCACGGCGATCAATCAATTCCTGCTCGGAAGGAACCGGCTGATCATCGATCATCAATTATCAGACGATGCCGCCTGTCTGGCGTCATTTCCAGTGGAGATAATTGCTGCGGCTCATTATGTATGTGGCGGAGCGGCTGGTGCGCCGAAAAACCAGACGAGACGGCGGATGTTCTGGGCACTCAGCAGGTGAGACCAAAGAGGACACGGAGGGCGTCAAAAGGGCGACTGGGCACGCCGGAGCGTTTGCCGGAAAAGCTTCCCGAATTACCAAGTTAATACCTGCATACTGCAGAACTCAAACGTTCCTACGGGTAGTCCTCGACTTACAATTGTTTGTTTGACAATGGTTCAAAGTTATGACAGCCTTGGAGAAAGTGATTTAGGACAGGGGTCCCCAACACTTGGGCCGTGGACCGGTACCAGGTTGTAGCATGCCAGCAAGCGGTCCGCACAAACAAGCAAAGCCCCATCCGTGGGATGCAGGCAGCACACAAAACCACGTACCTTCTGATCCGCAGAAAGACCTCTCCCCATGGAACTGGTGGTCCCTGGTGCCCAAAAGGTTGGGGGCCTCTAATTTAGGACCTGTAGTTGCAGGCAACACCTACCTGTGACAGGCCCAGGTAAATAGACACCGTCTCGGAGATGTAAAGGAATTTTCCCTCTTGATTCAGTGCAAAGACGAAGCCATCCAGGGACTGTGGAGCAAAGGAACACAATTCAACTGGGGTTGTGTGTAGGCAAAAAACCCCCCCCAAAAAACTGGTCTTGCCGGCAAGGCAATTCCCTCCTTTTCCACAGCAGAGAGAAAAGTCACATAATTTAAGGGAAAATCTGCAAGATTTTTATTTAGAAAAGTTCAGATGATTTGGCCCTACGGACCGGAAACGCTTCCCAAACTGAAGCGCCGAAATCCATCTCCAACAATGCAGAAAAGGCCATGCAAGCAGTCCTCAGTTTACGACTGGTTGCTTGGAGGCAAGAAGGATTAAGGAACTGGACTGGGATTAAATTGAAATGCTTTGGAAACGCTCTTTGCCTCTCTCCCAAGTAGCAGGAAGAAACTCAGCTCCTGTACCTCTTTTTTTGTTTGTTTGTTTGTGAACAGCAGAGTAAGTTTGCCACAGAAAGTCTCTTTGCCTTGTCATCCCCCCCCCCCATGACAAGCCCCATCTGGATTCTTTGAGAGGAAGGGCCCTTGCAAACATCTGGAAACTGATGCACAATATTGTTCCCTAGCTGGGTCTGCAAGGAAACCAGCATTAACCCTGGGACATGTATATCCGCCTTTATTTATGGCTGTTACAGCATTGTTACACTTCTAAGTCTTCTTTTTTGTTGCTTTTCTTTTTTCCTAACTTTTTCCCATGACTCTATTTGATCCATTTGAAAAATTCAATAAAGCTATATTAAAAAAAATGTTAAGTGATTTCTTGGGGATCCTCCAGAGGGAAGCTCCAGAGAAGCTGCAAAGGGAGAAGGGATGGGGGTGGGTGCAGAATAATCAAACAAACACACACACACCCTTCCAAATTGTTCCGGAAAGCAGGAAATTGCTCTCTTGGGCGCCCCACGGGGGAAGCCAGAAACGGCCCTTTGAATTTAACCATGGCAACTCATCCCCCACGCCAGGAAATTTGGCTTCTTAATCAACCCTCCGAAGCAGAGCCATGACCCTCCAAAGGCAAAGCCCCCCCCATCCCTCTTCCCTTTGGGGAAGTTACAAAATCAGCCCCAAAGCAGGAAAGATGAACATCCTGAACTCAGACCCCAAAGTTTTTCCAAGTTTGGAGACAAACCCCTCCGGGCACAAAGGAGAGTCTTGGCTCTGAAGGGTCACCCATAAGGGCATCTCCGTCCTTGCACAAGCGGAGACTGTGAATCAAGACAGCTGTGCACGGAGCTAGAGGGCGCTGCTAATGAATTGCCCTGGGATCTGGGTTCAAATCTTCAGAGAGATGGAAGGAGGGTTTTTTTTCCCTACCAGTCACTTGGTTGGGAAAATAATCTTGCAGGGGACCTTTAATGTAATGAAATTAATTTCTGTCAGTCCATCTGTCCATCTATCTATCTATCTATCTATCTATCTATCTATCTATCTATCTATCTATCTATCTATCTATCTATCTCTATCATCTCTCTCTCTTTATCATCTTTATCACATATCTATCTCTGTCTGTCTATCATCTATTTATCTCTATCAACTCTCTCTCTATCCATCCTATTTCTATCTGTCTATTTCACTGTCTCTATTTGTATCTATATCTTGTCTATCCTATTTGTGTCTATCTATCATCTATCATTTATCTATCATACATCTCTCATCTCTCAATCCTATTTCTGTTTATCTGTCTATATGTCCATCACTGTCTGTCTACCCTATCTATCTGTCTGTCCATCCGTCCATCCGTCCGTCCATCATCTATGTAACTATCTCTATCATCTCTCTCTATCATCTTTATCACCTTTCTATCTCTGTCTGTCTGTCTATCATCTATTTATCTCTATCAACTATCTATCTATCTATCTATCTATCTATCTATCTATCTATCTATCTATCTATCTATCTATCTATCTATCTATCTATCTATCATTTCCTTAATTCTTTTCACAGATAACCCAAGGCAGCAAACATATCCAACACACCTTCCTCCACCTATTTTACCCACCAAAACAACCCTGTGAGGTGGGCTGGGCTGTAAGAGAGGGACTGACTCAAGATCACGCCTCCGCCTTTCTTGCCTGTGGCGGGACTTGAACTCGCCATCTCCCACATTCTAGACTGGTGCCTTAACCAGACCAAGCCTCCTTCTGCTTGCTCATCTCCAGTCAATCTCAGTGGGGCCGTCCCCAATCCCCTCCTAATAAAAAGGGGGGGGAAGCCTGAGGATCCCCTCCCTTTTCTATCCTCCTCAGCAGCCCAGGGAGACATGCCCATCCTTTGGTGTCAACCGTTTAATTGCTGCGCCAATGACCTCTGAGCATACTTGATGACTGGGGGGGGGGGGGGAAGCAATTTTATCTGTCAGCAGTAATTAACATGTCTGAACATTAACCCGGCTGTCGGTGCCTTTAATTCCCCGCAGTTCCTCTCCCACGGCTCCACTGCAAAAGTGCCAAAGCATTTCCTCAGTGTCACCTGTTGCACGGGACCCTCACCTTGCGCAGGGGCCGGGCAGTGGGTGACAAAACGAAGGACCCCCCCACCTCCCCTGGTGGCCCTGCTGGAGAGGCAGATTTCCATAGAACCTGCTTTCGAAGTCTGGCAGATAAAATTTCTTTCCGTGACCTACGCAGAAAGCGCCCGGTTTCTTTTTAAGCGACGGAGAATTGGCAGACCCCAAAGCCATGTCTCACCACACAAAAACAAATGGGGTAGGCAACCTTGGCTCTTTTATGACTCGTGGACTTCAACTCCCAGAATTCCTGAGCCAGCATGGCTCAACTTGGAAACCTCTCCTTTTCCCTCAGCATGGCTGGCTCAGGAATTCTGGGAGTTGAAGTCCACCAGTCATAAAAGAGCCAAGGTTGCCTACCTCTGGCCTAGGCCTAGGCCGCTTTATGACTCGTGGACTTCAACTCCCAGAATTCCTGAGCCAGCATGAGGGAACTATGGCCCCCTCATGACTCGTGGACTTCAACTCCCAGAATTCCTGAGCCAGCATGGCTCAGCTTGGAAACCTCTCCCTTTCCCCTAAATATGGCTGGCTCAGGAATTCTGGGAGTTGAAGTCCACGAGTCATAAAAGAACCAAGATTGCCTTCCCCTGTAGATAAGACCTCCACTTACAGCCGTTCGCTTACTGACTGTTCCAAATTACAGCGGCACTGAAAAAAAGGGACATGTTTTTCCACACGACCGTCGCAACATCCCCGGGTCACACGACCCAAATTCAGGCGCTGGGCAATTGACTCGTACTTATGACGGTCGTAGTGTCCTGGGAGCATGTGATCCCCTTTTACGACCTTCGGGCAAAGCAAAGTCAAAGGGGGGAAAGCCAGATTGGCTTAACAACCCTGTTACTGACTGAACAACTGCGGTGATCTGCTTAACAAGACATGTGGCAAGAACGGTCGTAAAATGAGACAAAATCCACTTCATTGTCTCACTTATCAATGGAAATTTAGAGCTCAGTCGAGGACGGCCTGTATGTCTCCTTCAGAAATGCAGGCGGGGTCCTCATTTCAACCCTGAGCTATAAATATTCTCCTTTCCTAGGGTGGGAAACTCCCCCCCCCACCCAGCCCAGGATCCAACAGGAAAACGGTGGTGCAAAGAGAAGCCCCCAGCAGCTTCCAGAACCTCTGCAATAATTGGGGAGGGGTTTTCTGCCTTCGGCCGGAAGAGAAAGCAAAAGTTTCCTGCCTGCCATCTGTTCACCAGTCTTCCCACACACCCAGGGCCAAATCGAATTGCTTCCCAATAAATCTGCATTAGCTCCTGTAAAGGGGCTGGCGGAGGCGGCCGGCGACACTGGGGGGCCAGGGAAGAAATCTATTTCAGAAGGGACCCCCCACCTGGCCGAGCTGCCAAACCAGGTTAGGGCCTCGGTTTCCCTCTGTGCCGAGGCTGGAGCAAAGCCCCTAACTCAATTGGTCCCCTCGCCTACCACACCTCCCTGGCTCTCTGTACCTGCATCGACCGCGGGCTAATTAAGTTCCCTCAAGGGAGGGAGGGAGGGAGGGAGGGGTTCCCCCCACCCCCAAACCCAGCCTGGCTGAACCAGCCGAGCCCAGAGCCATTTCCTGAAGGCAGAATTTCTGGGTCTGGAGGGAGAAGGAGGTGGGGGGCTTGGGGGTCTGGAGGGATCCGTGGCCAGCCTCAGTTGCCCATCGGAAACTTTGCTGGAGAGTGGCAGGAACCAGGAAATAAGGCCTCGGAGCCGCTCCTTTGTGTTCCTGTGCTACCTTCACAATTTGCACACTTGATGCGCACAGAGGCAGAGGTGTGGAGGCTCGCATTCCTGTCTAGAGTTAACTGAAGATTTATTTATTGATTTGGTTTGCACAGTCCTCAAGTTATGACTGGTTGCTTAAAGATGGTTCAAACTTATGACAGAGGGAGGCAGGGAAGGGATGGAGAAGGAAGAAAGGGAGGGAGGGAGGGAGGGAGGGAGGGAAGGAAGGAAGGAAGGAAGGAAGGAAGGAAGGAAGGAAGGAAGGAAGGAAGGAAGGAAGGAAGGATTCAGACAGAGAGAGAGGGAGGGAGGAACTTATTCTGGCGCCTTGGTGAACCCAGCCTGGAGGACACAAAGCGGACTTACCTGCAGGATGTGGCCCCCTAAGTGCTTTTCAAAGAGCTCCGTCAGCAGCGTGTTCATATTTCTCCGACCAGAAGCTGGAGAGAAACCAAGATCTCAGCGTCAGCAAGGAGGATCCAGTGTGGCCACCCTCCCGCTCAGCTTCTTGGGGCCATGAAGCCTGAGAGATCCCTTGCTATGGGCTGGATCAGGCTAGGAGGAATCAACGCTCCTGTGATATCTGCTCGCTCATTCATTCATTCGTTCGTTCAATTTATATGCCTACTCTGCTTCTCTTCTCCAAGTTAGGCCTCAGATTCCAAACCTCAGCTCAGAGTTGGAGGATCCTAAACAGTAGATATAAATATACAGATAGATTGATTGATAAGATAGATACAGATAGATAGATAGATAGATAGATAGATAGATAGATAGATAGATAGATAGATAGATAAGATAGACACAGATAGATAGATGATATATTATAGATAAGATGGCAATAGATTAGAGAAGACAGAGAAGATTAGATAGATATATAGATATAGATAGATAATACTGTAGATAGATAGATAGATATAGATAGATACATATAGAGAGATAGAGATAGATAGATGATAGATTATATATGATAGATAGTGATAGATTAGATAAGATAGAGAAGATTAGATAGAGATAGATAGATAGATAGATAGATAGATAGATAGATAGATAGATAGATAGATAGATAGATAGAGATGATAGATGTGGGTTAATTTGATCCAGGAATATCTAGAGAAGGAACGAATAAACAGGGCTTTTGGCTGGTGTCTGTGAAGGAGGGTCTCTGGCCAGGACCCTTACCTAGGACGAGGGGGGGCAGAGGCAAAGGAAGGCACTACATTTGGGGGATAGAACAGGAGGGAGAAAGAAGGGGGGAGGACAGGATGAGCCATTGTGTCCTGCGCATTCCTGCCAGACGAGAGGCGAATACTTACCAGCCCGGCATTCAGGCATTCACGAGAGACCCCCGATCAAGCTGAAAAGCTCCACAGCCCCTAAGTTAACCTTTCCTGAAGCCTCACCGTGCCCCCCCCACAACTGGCTGGGGGCCAAGCAGGGGAAGGAAGGTGGGCTCAAAGGGACCCACACGTGTGCGGAATGCCAAACAGGGCGCATGCTTTGATCCACAGTGGAGTCCGGAGCTCTTTCCTGATGGCATCTCCGATGTTTCTATGGCACAACTGCCTGTTCAGAAGTTCCAAAGAGTTTGCGGGCTGTTTTGTTTCTTATTTATTTGTGCGTTCGTTTATTAGTAAAAAAAATTTTAGGTGGTTAAGCCCACAGTTGGAATCCTGCGTCCAGCTTTCGTCGCCACGCAACAGAAAAGAAGTTAAGACTCTGGAGAAAGTGTAGAGAAGAGCAACCAAGATGATCAAGCAGGGGTGCCCAAGCTTGGCCGTTTTAAGACTTGTGGACTTCAACTCCCAGAATTCCCCTGGCTGGGGAATTCTGGGAGTTGAAGTCCACAAGTCTTCAAGTGGCCAAGCTTGGACACTCCTGTGATTAAAGGGGCTGGAAGCTAAACCATACAATGAATAATTGAGGGAACTGGGAATGTCTGGTCTCATAAAGATAAGAACTAGGGGGGACATGATAGCATCCTGCGGTATTTGAGGGGGTTTCCCAGAAAAAAGGGGGTCCACCTGTTCTCCAAAGCGGACAAGAAGCAACGGATGGAGACTAATCCAAGGAGAAAAACAACCTAGAACTAAGGAGGAATTTCCTGAGAGTGAATGAATGAATCGATGGAACGGCTTCCCTCTTAACAATTGCACTGGTTCATTTAACAACGGTGGACAGAAAGGGCGTAAAAATGGGGCTCACTTCCCAAAAGTTTCCCCTAACTCACTTCCCAACTGTCTCGCTTAGCAATGGAAGTTTTGGGCTGAATCGGGGGTTGTAAGTCAAAGACAACCTGTAGCTAGAAGCTAACCCCAAAGTTCGCTTTAGACAGCTTTAGACATGGGGTGGAAACAGCCCCAGTCTTTTGAGGCAACTGGTTTTCCAAGGGGAAAAAAAAAAAACAAAAAATAAAAATCATATTTTTTCCTCTTCTCTCTCTCTCTCTCTCTCTCTCTCTCTCTCTTTCTGTCTTTTTAAATCACTGTGGCAGCTTCGGAGATGCCATTTCAGAACAGTTATCTGTACGAATTTACTTGTAACTAACAAACAGAGACCTACTTGACAGACAATCGGGAACAATACCAGTCCCGCTAATTGCTGCAATTTCCTCTGTCATTTTCTTTAATTCCTTCATTTTTCCTCTCTGGAAATAACCCCACAGGTCAGACAGAATGCTCCTATAATTAAAAGCATTTAATGCAAGAATTAGAAAGCTGCTCACATTATGGGGAAGGGAACGGGGCAGAAGCTGGGGGGGGCATATTGTTAATCCCCCCCATCCCACCCTCTTTTAAAGTTTGCAATTTGCCAGCTTTTTAAACAGTTTTTTCAACAACAAAAAAAGAAAGACAAGAAAGAAAGAAAGAAAGAAAGAAAGGACAGAAAAAAGAAAAAGAAAGAAAGAAAGAAAGAAAGAAAGAAAGAAAGAAAGAAAGAAAGAAAGAAAGAAAGAAAGAAAGAAAGAAAGAAGAGAGAGATAGAGAGACGGGAAAAAAATAAATTGGAAAAAAAGAGGGTTTCCCCCCTTCCTGTTTTTGGTTTTTTTTTTCAACCGAAGAAGCCCACAGCATTCCTGAAAAGGCAAAATGTCAGGAAAATGGGGAAATGAAACCCCTGGAATGTCAACCCTGCCTGATGACGTCATCTGGCCAAGGTTGCAGATCTGCATGACGTCATCAGGATACGTGGGACTTGTGATGGGGGGGATCAACACCTGCCGTTATGATTGGCACGCAGAGCAAATGAATTTGCCTGTCAATAAATGCAACTTTGATCCCTATGTGAGCAGCTTTCTAATTCTTGCATTAAATGCTTTTAATTATAGGATCAAACACAGACACGAAATGCAACAGGAGATTCTCCTGAGAGTGGGTGGGCTTTATTTTAAACCAAGGGTCCCCAAATTTGTCCACTTGAAGACTTGTGGACTTCAACTCCCAGAATTCGTCAGTCAGTACGCTAGCAAAAATTTACGATGTGTGGACTACATCTCACAGAGCTAGCTGGGGAATTCTGGGAGTTGAAGTCCACAACTCTTCAAGTGGCCACGTTTGGCAACTATAAATTTAAATAATTATAAGGAAAGAATGAGAAAACATCTTCCACTGAAGAAGGATGTTTTTTTCTCCTAAGTACTGGGGTGGGGAACCTTGGCTCTTTTATGACTTGTGGACTTCAATTCCCAGAATTCCTGAGCCAGCCGTGTTGAGGAGAAAGGGAGAGGTTTCCATGCTGAGCCATGCTGGCCCAGGAATTCTGGGAGTTGAAGTCCACCAGTCATAAAAGAGCCAAGGTTGCCTACCCCTGTCCTAAGAGGTATTTCTCCCATCTGGAAATAAATATTTAAATATAGTGGGCGTGTTCAGGTCATCCTTGACTTACAACCATTCATTAAATGACTACTTGAAGATACAACAGCGCTGAAAAAAAGGGACTTATGACCATTTTTCACACGACCACTGCAGCGTCCCTGTGGTCACGTGATCAAAATTCGGACACTTGGCAACCGGCTCACATGTATGACAGTTGCAGCCTTTGGGATCAGCTGATCACTATTTCTAATCTTCCCATCCAGGTTCCCTCGAGCAAAGTCAACAGGGGAGGCTGGACTCACTTAACAGCCACAAATTCACTTAACAACTGCAACTGATTTGCCGAACAACCGCGGCGAAAAGGGTTTGTAAATTCGGGCGCCACTCACTTAGCAAGGGATCGCTTTGCTTAGCGAGGGAAATCCCTATCCCGATTGTGGTGGTAAGTTGAGGACTGCCTGTGATTATCCGTGAACGAACGAAAGGGGTGACCGCTATAAACTGACCAACTTTCCTTCGAGTACTCTAGGAAGGACCGAGCGAGAAAAATTAAGCAACGCGCACTCTGAAAAAAGTAAAATAACCGGAAAAGATGAAAGAGTCTAGAGGCCGAATGCTGGACCCTGTACAAAAGGCTGTGCCATGAAGATGCATTTGAACCCCTGGGGCTCCCTACTCCAATGGAGGGTCCAGGCCCCTCACCCCCAACCCCAAGGGGAAGAAGCATTCAGAGGGTTAACGTCAAAATCCGGTGAGATTATCCAAGCTGCGACACGGCGCGCGGCCGGCTCGGCGTAATCACCGAATTCTTTCCCCCAAGCGCGTAATTATATGGGAGAATAAAGCCGCCAGCAAGACCATGGATGATGGGCCCACAGCTGCAGCCCTTTCTTCCCAGCCAGGCTGTAGCGGAGTGAGCTGCAGCTGAGAGGCAAAAGAGCAAGGTTGGCAGAGTTTACGGGAATCACGGGGAAGGGACCGTGGAGGTCTTCTAGTCCAACCCCCTGCTCAAGCAGGAGACGGGAAAAGGGATGGAGGTGGGGAGAGCAGGATCGATCCTACGTATGGTTCTGGAGGTCATAGGGGCCTCTGCTGGCTAGTCAGAAGCCGAGGGTTGCATTCACCGTAAACCTTGCAACCCTCTTTAAGGGAACTGTAGTGGAATGTGGTCTGGATTCCCAGGAGGGAAGGGCTGCTTACCGGAGGGCAAAGTGGCAGCAGAGCTCGGAATGGCTGGTAGGGAGGAAGAGGGTCCAACGGCCCCTCCCTAGCAGTTTCCAGGATACATCTATAGTTATACAAATAGTTTCTTTAGGGTCACGGTGCTCTTGGAGCTGGGTGGTTTTCTTGCAGACATTTCATAACCCAACTAAGTTACATCAATATTGCTAGGAAGGAGTGGGGTTTGTGAAGGAGGAGGAGGAGGAGGAGGAGGAGGAGGAGGAGGTTGACTGTGGGGTCCTTGGTGATCTCTGAGCTTGGTGGTTTCCTTGCAGACGTTTCATTACCAAACTAGGTAACATCATCAGTTCTAGGTGGGAAAGGAAGAGAAGGAGAGGAGAAAGACGGAAATGTGGCACAGTTTGGCACTGGTGGGCTCCTAGCTTGGCAGTCAGGCCATCGATGCCATGGGGCATGGATGAACAGCCTGCTTTTCACACAGTCCTTACACGGCTGTTTGTTTTGTTCCACGCTTCGCGCCGCCCAGCCAGTCCTTCAGCCTCCTCTGCTTGTTCCACCTTGCCTTCCTTCACCCAGACGTGTCCTGCTGCCGGCTCCGGGTGCGAGAGACATCGCACACCCTGCCCATACCAAGCAAGCTGCATCAATCAGGCTAAGTGGCTGGCCTGGATGGGAGCCAAGTTGAGCGAGTCAACCTCTCCACCCACGTTCCCCTCCTTTCCGACAGCCCAAATCTGGGGCAGGGGGTGTGTGTGTGTGAGTGGAGTTGCAGGGAAGGATCCCCGAGTGGTTTACTCGTCGGGGTGGTCTGGGCTGCCAGTTGAGAAAAGGTGGAAAGCAGCACCCCACAACTCTGCATGAGCTCCGTAGGGTCAGGCGACCTTGCCAGAGGACCAGCGTTGTGGTGAAAGCTGCATTAGGACGTCCCAAAGATGCTTTTTCACGAGGGAACTGGACTTCCTTGTTTTTCTTTGAAGACATTTCGCTTCTCATCCAAGAAGCTTCTTCAGCTCTGACTGGGTGGTGGGGAAATGGAAGGATTTATATCCGCACCATCCAGTCAGAACTGAAGAAGCTTCTTGGATGAGAAGCGAAACGTCTTCAAAGAAAAACAAGGAAGTCCAGTTGCCTCCTGAAAGAACATCTTTGGGATAACTATGGCCTGGATGACTGAGATTTTCCACAGACATCTACATTATGAGGACATTTCACAGCGAGAAGAAATGGAGAAAAATTCTCCTTAGTTCCAGGTTGCTTCTCGCCTCGATAAGTTCCCATTGGTTGCTTCTTGTGTTGAGTTCAGGTGCTTTGGAGAACAGGTGGACCCCCTTTTCTGTATGGCAGCCCCTCAAATCTTGGAGCCCGGCTATCACGTCTCCCTAGTCTTTCTTTTCAATCAACTAGCCATTCCTAATTCCTTCAAATATTCTTCGTATATATTTTATCCTCCAGTCCCCCCAGTCATCTTGGTTGCTGTTCTCGGCACTTTTTCCAAAGTCCTGACCTCTTTTTCTCACAGTGACGAAGAAGAGGAAGAAGGACACACCGCTAAAAATTCAACTGGGCCAGCCACGTCCATCGCGATCCTAATCGTTTGGAGATCGAAACGCCCACGTGGACCTCTTTTTCAACTTTATAAGAGGGCTCCAAAATCTTTGTCTTTTTCAAGATCCAAACGAGGAAGCCAGGATTGAAATGACTCTGAAACAGTCTCTTCAAGGTGGGGATGATAGATTGAAGCATCTGGGACTCATACTGCTTCGACGCGCAAACAGATCTATACGCACGTGGAACAAACGTGCTCGCTTCCCTGCCCCTTCCCATCAGTTGCTTCATGAGATATTCAGCAATTAACAAATGCAAGTTGACCTCAACTGACGACCGTTCGTTTAGCGACCGTTCAAAGTTACAACGGGACTGAAAAAGATGACTTACGACTGGTCCTGGCATTTACGACCCCCGCAACAACCCCAGGATCACGTGATCAAGATTTGGGCATTTGGCAACCATGCGTTTACTTACATTTATTTATTTATTTACGTACATGCATTTATCTATTTATATCCTGCTTTTATTATTTTGACAGGTATTTATGACACGTTGGTCAAATTTTGGATCATGAGCGGAGTTTGCATGTGAGGGAATTTAAAAAAAAAAAAAAAGTCAAAGGGATGTGGCTTTATTGTGTGGCTCATCTTGACTTTTCTGACTACCCTGGAAAACGCTTCTGGATCTGCCCTGCGGCCCTTCACCAGATCCCTAAAAGGACCGTCCATTTCAGCTCCAGACCCATCCCATATTTCGTATGGTTTTGCTTTTCTCTCTTGCCGAGTCCCCCGCAAGAGTGAAGTGACTCCGGGAAAAGCGGAATTAAAAAAAAACAGGCTCCATTTTCCTTGTCAAATTAGGGGCAATTTGAACAATTGTTCTCCCTCCAGAGGTTTAATAAAGCAGTGACTGATTAATCAGCATGACCTTAATCGGGTTTTCCACCCCCACCCCCCTAACAAAGTCCCAGGAAGAGACTCGCTGTGGGAAATTGAAAAAACCCCAAAACAAAACCCTGCTGCTAATCCTGCTAATGCAATTGATTAGGACCTTGCCCCCCCCACCCCAGACAGAGAGGGTAATTAAGGGGGGGAGCGCTGGCCGATAACTCTCTGCAGTCTGTGTGTGTTTGTGTGTTTATGTGTGTAGGTGGAAGACTGCAGTCATGCAAGATATAAAATGATGATACTTTGGTTCCAGCAAAGGAAGGAAGGAAGGAAGGAAGGAAGGAAGGAAGGAAGGAAGGAAGGAAGGAAGGAAGGAAGGAAGGAAGGAAGGAAGGAAGGAAAACCACCAGCAGATGCTGACTGAGCTAGGACATTACTCTTAAATATTATAGACAAACATTCTTGGAATAGTGGCATAATGGTGAATAAGCAGCCCCTGACTTCTCCCAAAATTCTTCTTGAAAAACCTCTGCCCACCACGTCTTATGATAACAATTCATCCTGCCTGGCATATTTCCTTTCAACTGGTCAAAGAGGCCAAGCCTTTTTCTCCGGGACCCCTTTCATACAAGCTTCTAGTCCTCATTGTAAAAACGCAAACACATGAAGCGGCAGGCATCCTTCCCCCGATCAAGCCCCTCTTTTATGGGGCAAAATACTTGAGCCATTTTGGACCCCAACCTGTTTTTAAACTGGGACACCAGATCCCCAGATTCAGGAGAGCACAGCTACCCCCAGTTTTAAGAAGTTGTTTGCAGCCTCCATTTTGCAAAGGCAACCATGACGAAGATGAGTTCCTTGCAGATTTGGGGTGCCTCCCCCCCACCTGAGCTGGGGTGGAAAGAGAGAGTAAGAGAGGAACAAAATGCCTCCCCCCTCTCCCCCAGACCCATCTCCTTTAGTGCTGGAATCTGCTGTTGAAAAGGGGGGGGTATGAAGGGAGGGCTCCCCCCTCCCAGCCCATCTCCCCCAAAACAATAGGCAGATGTTATCCCTATTGCTCAGCACCCTCGTTATTGGGCTGGTAATTACCCCGGAGCTAATGATAGTAATCAGAAAATGCCGCAAGCCGTATTCTTCCCCGGCAGTTAATTTATTTAATTACACATTTTGAAGCGGTATTATTTAAATGGCGATTTATTGCCTGGCTAATCAATGCTATTTTGCCTGGGTAAGGGGCTGTGGGCAGGCGGGTCGGGGCGGTGGGCTGCGCTGCCTGTGTGCTGGAATGGAGCATTCAGTTGGCCGGGCTGAGAGGTGCTGGGCAGGGGGCTGGATTAGATGGTCTCCGAGGGTCCCCATTCTGTGATTTCTCTCCCTAATAATTTACAAATTGTGAAGAAAGAGGCTGGACAACCGGTCCTCGACTTAACAGCAGTTCATTTAGTGACCGTTCAAAGTTACAACGGCACCAAAAAAAGTGACTTACGACCATTTTTTTCACTTAACGACCGTTGCAGCACCCCCAGGGTCACCTGATCAAAATTCAGATGTTTGGCATCTGATTCATATTTATATTAATAACATGGACCGAACTGGGGGTGCAAAGCGGTGAATGGTTAAGGCAGGGAGGGGGTCTTTTAGAAGAGGCGACAACGTGTCGGCTGGTGTGTGTTTGTGTGTATCCGTTTCCTCCGTTCAGTTGTGTCCAGTTCTCAGAGACTGCTTGGATGAGCCCCTGCAGTTTCCTTGACAAGTTTGGTTTAGAAGTAGTTTGCCTTTGCCTCTTTCCTAGGGCTCAGGAGGGGTGGCTGACTCAAGTTTACCCCGCTGACTTTGTGTCCAGAGCAGGACTAGAATTCAGGACCTCTCAGATTCTTGCCTGGTGCCTTCACCAGGACACCAACCTGGCTCTCGTTTTCATTTTGCTTGCAATAAAGGCTGGGCTTTCCCTCCAGTTCCCCTCAGCTCCCCCGCCCGGGTTGCCCTCCGTCCAAGCTCCCCCGTGGTCAGTGCCCATCCCCCTCCCATCCTGCCCCCTGCACCACAGGGCACTGCCCCCCCCCAAGGAGTGCCCGACACCCACCGTTGCCTGCCGGGGCCGGGCCCTCTGCCCGCAGGGTCCAGGGTGGGTCGCCGTGGAGGGCGAAGTGGCGCATCTTCAGGTAGGTGATGGTGAGCCGGACGATGGAGGCCTTGTCCAGCTGGCTGGTGATGGCACCGGGCAGGGGCAATAGTTTTGCCAGTTCATAGAACTCAAAGTTCTCCTTGCCTCGGCGGGAGCGAGCTGCGTTGCGGGATTTTTCCTTCCGTAGAGCCTGCAGGCTGGAAGGAAGAAAGGAAGAGAGGGAGGAAGGAATGAGTCAGACAAGGAGGGAGGGAGGAAAAGAAGGAAGAAAGGAAGGAAGGAAGGGAGGAAGGAAGGAAGGAAGGAAGGAAGGAAGGAAGGAAGGGAAGAAGGAAGGAAGGAGTCAGACAAGGAGGGAGGGAGGGAGGAAGGAAGGAAGGAAGGAAGGAAGGGAGTGAGTCAGAAAGGGAGGAAGGAAGGAAAAATAGAGAAGGAAGGAAGGAAGGAAGGAGTCAGATAAGGAGGGAGGGAGGGAGGAAGGAAGGGAGTGAGTCAGAAAGGGAGGAAGGAAGGAAAAATAGAGAAGGAAGGAAGAAAGGAAGGAAGGAAGGAAGGAAGGAAGGAAGGAAGAAAGACAGGGAGGGAGGGAGGGAGAGAGGGAGAGAGGAGAAATAGAGAAGAGAGGAAAAGGAGGAAGGAAGGAAGGAAGGAAGGAAGGAAGGAAGGAAGGAAGGAAGGAAGGAAGGAAGGAAAAGAGGGAGACAGGCATCAAGGAAAGTGGGTTGAGCTGAGGGAGAATGGGAGTTCTCCAACTCCCATGCACCCCAGCCAGTACTCTCCGGGATGATGGGAGCTGTAGTCCAAGTCTAGCTAGGCAGGTGCCAGTCCCGAGACCCAGGAATTTAAACACGGGCATCATAAATCTGTCAAACTTTTTCACTGAACATTTGACCCAAAACACCCCCTCAACAACTGGAAAGGTAGGAGAGTTGGGGGCTCTTTCTCCTGCCCCCCCCTGGTGCCCCCTTTTGTCCATACAAACCAGAAAGGCCCATCCGGGGTACCCAAGACGGGTGCCTACAACTGGCCTCATCCCTCGAGACAGCCACGGCTTGTGATCTGTGCCTATGTTACCTAGGCTTAACATGCACCCCCCAAATACAGATTTGGGGGCGTCCCCCCTCCTGCATCAAGCTAGAGACCCCAGAGAGGGCTCGAGTTCCGGGCCAACCTCCCCCCATTTATCTCCCCCTTCCTTTCTGAGCTGTAACAGCCCCTCCCCAACCTGGCCCCTCCAGCCCTCGTCGTTCCCCAGAGGGGTCGGTGCCCGCAAGGAGGGTCCCGGCATCCCTCCAACCTTCCAAAGACCCCTTCGAGGTAGGCTCAGAGAGCCTGCTGGGGTCTAAGGGGACCTCGACGAAAGGGAGGCTCCCGGTCACCAGAGCAGGCCCTGCCACCCAGCCCGGTGCCCACGAGATGCCAACTTACCAGGGCACCGGCTGGTTCTTGACCAGCAGGCCCTGCAGGAAGTCCCATTCCACGCTGAAGCACTTGACCCCCTCGCTGCCGTAGAGGGAGGCCATCGCGCCCAGGGGGGACCATCCGCCCGGCACCGGACACCCAAGGCCCGCCGGTCACTCAGAAGGCCCTCCGTCCCCGATGCCCTTTACGGACACGGCCTTCTGAAAGACAAGGGGGAGGGGGACAGAAATCTCTGTCAGGTTTCTTTCTCTTCGCCACACAGGCAGTCCTCGACTTACAACAGTTCATTTAGGGACCGTTCAAAGTTACGACGGTACTGAAAAAAAGGGACTTAGGACTGTTTTCCAGAGTTACAATCTTTACAGCATCCCAGGGCCACAGCAGCTCTGCAGCTTGAACAGCCCCCTACTCTAGAGCAGGGTAGCTTGGCAACTCTGAGATGGGTGGACTTCAACTCCCAGAATTCCCCAGCCAGCATGCAGGAAGAAAGGAAGAAAGCCCTCAAGTTTCTAGTCCCTATGCTTGCAGCCTCCAATTGCGTTTCCAAGCCTGAATCGTTCTATGAAACAAACCGTTTGCTCAAAGCCGAGAATGGAGAAGGGGGGGGGGAGAGCCAGGCGTTTAGAAGATGTTTTTGTCTTGCTGCATTCATTATTACTCTTTGTGGAGGGGGGGGCACAAAAGAAAATATTTTCTGATAACAGTCGGGGGCATTCTTAAATTGCTTAATTACCCGTTTCCTTGCCTTGCTTCTCCCAATTATCTCAAAAAGACCCTGGAGTTAAGATTTTAGAACTAGGAACAGGTGGAAACAAATCAGCAATCAATTAAAAGGACCATGACGGCTAATCAGCCTTCCTTTAAAAATAATAATAACAATACACCCCCTGAATTTCTCCCCATCAGAGAGCTGGAGAGGAACAGGTTCCTGTTGCACCTGCGTCTTTCGAGAACAACGGCACGGAGGGATCAGCCTCTTGCTTTTCAAGTGTTTCGCACTCCTGGCCCTTTTGCCATTTGTCCGAAATGGCATAGGGTCTCCTGCTTGAGCAGGGGGTTGGACTAGAAGATCTCTGAGATCCCTCCCAACTCTGTTATTCTATTATTTTTTGCCTTCCTTCCTTCCTTCCTTCCTTCCTTCCTTCCTTCCTTCCTTCCTTCCTTCCTTTCTTCCGAAGTCTGGAATACCAATTCACTGTTCGTGCCAGGCTTTGCTGGACAAATCAGGTGAGTGATCCAGAAAGCTTCCCTTCAACTAGCAAACTTCAATTGTTGCCGTGAAATTCACAAGCAGAGTTCGTAGCCTTAAATGCACTAAAGTGAGCTAGGAAGGCCCACTTCTCTCCCCCCTTCCTAGTTACAGAATAACAAGAGTTGGAAGGGGCCTTAGAGGTCTACTAGTCCAACCCCCTGCTCAGGCAGGAAGCCCTATACCCATTTCAGACCAACGGTTGCCCAATCACTCCTTAAAAACCCGGAGGCAAGTTCTTCTCCCTGTGAAAACCAGGGATCCCAATGGGAAGGAACTAGCCTGGGTCTGACCAACCCAGTTGCTCTTCTGAAGTTCTTAACTTGCCCCAAAAGTGAGATCAACAGATCCAGAATCAACGTGTTTTAGACGGCCAAACCCTGAATTGGGCAGCTGGTTGCTTTCCGAAAAAGAAGAATGGCACAGAACCGGGGTCCCTTTGCCTATTTACGATGAGGGTTGGGCCATCGGATGCTTATCCCCTTCCCCAGCGAGTGGCAAGGGGGTGGGTGGGCTTTCTTTGCCCCTGTTAGCACCAGGAGGGTGGGTCGTCCAGATTTTAGACCGCTGCAGAGTGTGCCAGCCTCGCTGGCCCTTCCAGCTCCATCACTTCAATCGCCAATAAATCAAGACAGGAAGCGCCTGTCACTTACTTCTGAACTCCGAGAGAGAGTGACATTCCCAGGACGAACGTTACCTAACGGAGCGAGGCCGTAGGAAAACTGTTCAACATCCTGACGCGAAGCCAGGAAGATGGAAAGCCTGTTTGCCACGGATGGCTACACGCTTCTGACACGCACCTGTCTCAGCCCGGTGCGCGTACAAGCCGGGAAGCAGACCCTTTGCCAGCCGAGGAAGCCGCCGCAGGCCACCCGTCCTCCCTCCGTCCCCCCCTTCTCACCTCCCCACATCAAACGCACGAGCGCCCACGCATACCGATCCGGAGGCACGCACAACTGCACTCGCACCCCGTCTCCCATACCAATACAAAACCCACGCCTCTTGCGCATATAAAATGGAGATCATCAATAGACACGCCGCCTGGTGCATACCAATGGGCAACCTTCTAGAGCTCGGCTAGCCACCTTCGCAAGCTCGGGCAGGGTGAAAGGGGGCAAGGGGCGAAGGCCCTCCCGGGCTTTGCACACTGCTGAAACTTTGCAAATGCACACACTTTTGCACAATTGGGGGGGGGGGAGAGAGAGGCAGGGCAAGGAGATCAGCAGGAGTGCAGAGGCAAAATTAGGAATGATAAACAGAATATCAGCCCAGAGTTAGGTGGGGGGGGGGGAGAAGAAGTGAGGGTGGTACACACAGACTTTCAGAGGGCAACAACAAGGAAGAGCTTTAAACTTAACCGCAGTTGCACGGCTGTAGGGGAGCCATCTTCTTCCAGGGTACCCCAAAATCTGAAAGAATCTGGTTGCATCTCTCCAAAGTCTATCCAAAGACGAATGCTTTCATCCCAAAGCTTCAGTCTTTTAATAAAATGGGTCAGCCGGAAAGACGCAGCCCATTTTTTCCTGACCCTCGGCTGAAGGAGCAAAAAGACAGGGCTGGGCAAAGTACTTGATCCTCTTTTGAAGCAGCCAGATTACCATCCAAACTGCACCGATCCACGTTTCCACTAGCTAGAACTTTCTCCCAGTGAGCTGATCTCCCGGATCATCTTGTGGTCTCCAGATTTTCAAGGGGGGGGAGGGGGGAGAAAGCAAGGGGGTGCCGAAAGCAAACACGCGCCTGGCAATTGCAGGCAGAGCCCACCTGAATGTCTGCAACTCTCTGACGCGAGGGGCTCGCGGCCACGCTGCGAGACCACCCCACTCCCCCCCCAAATGGGTTAAGGCCCTACAGCCCTGCGTTCATAGGAGCGCTCCAGCTTCCAACGGAGATCGTGCAACGCCTGGCGAGGAGGGACTCGAACCCACGTCATCTAAAGCCAAAGGCGAGCGGCCTTTGAAGTGACCCCGTCCGCCTCCAATATGACTGTGCAAAAGAGCAGAGCAGCAAGTCAAACTTACATGAGGTGAAAGCAGCTGAGTGAGTTGGGGGGGGGGGCTCTCTGAAGTACTCCTGCTGCTACCCTCAGCCAGCAGCCAGCCTGCTCTTTGGAAGGAACCTCCATCCGTGCTTTCTCCTTCCCCCCATCCATCCTCCAGCGGATTGGAAGAACAGAAGAGGGACACAATGCACCCACCGACTTCCCTCTGCGGGATGGCGCTAGGCAGCCTGATTGGGGTCTGACCCTGCAGGCCTTCTCGGCTCCCAATCTCTGCCCACCGCACGCCTCTCTCCTGGATAGGAGCTCCTGCACCGAATTCCTTACTCAGCGGCACCACCCCATGAATATTGGGGCCTAGGTGCCGCAGCCAAGGCAGAACGTGGGGTCCCTTCTAGGGCTCCAGGCCAAGCCCCCTGACCCCACGGGGATTGAGGGGTCAGGTGGCTTGGAGTGAGCCCTTCCCTCCTTGGAAATGAAGCTGGGGGGGGGGTGGAGAACAGAAGGAAAATGTTTGGCTGCAGACAGACTTGCTTTCTCATTTTCAATTTCTGAAACAATTCTGATGCAGGAAGCGCCCCCAAACCCATTTTCAATTGCACTTAGCAGTGCCCGGATGGAGACACACACACACACCCCTCTCAAAATCAGATGCAAAGCAGAACCAAATCGAACCTCACTCACTGTGTGGAAAGCGTACAGGATTGGACCCCCTCGTAGAATTGGGGGGCTGGGGGGTGGGTGGGATATTCCTTTTGCAGAGTTTCAAAAGCTAGCCAACCCCGTTTTACTTAAGCCTTTGGGTGACGCGGAAAGAAACGGCAGACAGAACTCATATTCAGCCCTTCCAAGGTCCTGTTTCAGCCTTGTGGGGTAAAGCCTCTCAAACACCCATTTGGCAATCCTCCTGGGGGGGGGCTTCAAAACAGACCCTTTCTCAATTCAACCGCCTGCAAGTCCAACCTTCTGCCCAAATTCTACAGCCAAACACGAGTTATTTCAGGATAACTTCACTGGCTGCCCAGGCAGGTAAAAAGAGGCTGAGAGGGCATGCCAAGTTTTGCCCAAAAAAAAAAAAAAGGAATTGAATGTGTGCAATTCAGTTTCAGGCTGAAGGTTTTTGGGAGGAGGGGGAGGCAATCCACAATTGGGGATTGTCTCCCCGAAAAGAAACAAGGGTATTTCCCAAAAACAGCACTGAGATAAACAGCAGCTCCTGAGGAGACCCATTAAAGGTAGGAGAGCAAAACAGTTTCCTACCTGCTTTGAACACCGATCGCTGGGGGGGGGCTCAATAAAAGCGCCCACCGATTTGGTGATCTGAAGTTTTTCCTATTTCACGTCCCCTCCAGTTGTCACCGAACCGCCACCAAATAACGCACGACCAGCACAGACCCATTTCGGTCCAGCAGGGACCAGCTCAAAAACTTGAAACCGAGTCTGCAAATGGTCTTTTTTTTAACCTCAAAACACATTTCCTGGAGAGACAAGCAGCCCACACAGCCCCACCCCATCCCACCCCAAGTCACCCCTTGGACCTTCCAGAATGCGGCCCCTCGGATGGCAGAGCTGATTCACCTTTGTCTGACCTGCTTCGGCTTCAGGTGCCAAGACCCCATCCTTTCCCAAGGTCCCCGGGGTCTTTCTTGGGTCGAGGGGGGGGGGCTCTGGATTCATGCCTTGACACCTCCAGCTGGGATTGTGGAAAAGCTGCTTGTCATCCAGTGCAGTGGCTGAAGCAACCACTGCCTCAGTTTCCTCCTCCTCCTCGGCATTCAGAGGTTGGGCAAAAGACAGTGGCCGAAAGCAAGCCGACACCTGTTGCCTCTGGGCCAGGCTTGGACAGGCAAATTTCCAGCAAGGTAAAGGGTGCCCCTGAGGGCATGCAGAGTGCCTTTGCCTAACCGCTCCACCAGTCTAACCTAACCCCCCCTTCCAAAATCACCCAGTCAGGGCTGGCAGCTCCCAAATTTGGCCACAGAGTTCAACAACTGCTTGCAATTGACCCCTCGGTGCGATCCAGGGCACAGAGAGAGGGGCTCGCGCCTGGCTCCGGCAGAGAGAGAGAGAGAGTTGTAGCGTTCTTCACCCAGCTAAGTGAAGATTTATAGTATGGCCAGATTGTGTTGGATGCTGACACACCCTGTGCTCCAAATGCATCCATGAACCAATTGCCAGATGGGGGGGGGGAGAGGGGAAGGCTAGGAGACTAGACACCCCCCTCCCCTCTCCAGGTATAATCAGCATGAGTGTCATGCAGACAATGCAGGTGGGGGGGGGGGAAATCACAGCAAAGAGCCCTGCAAGTTTACTAACCCGCTCACGCACACAAACACACGCAGAGATACACGGACACCCCAAAACAGCGCCGAGCCCCGAGTCCGCTCACCTTCCTCCTCCGAAGAGCCGCCCGAGAGAGTCGCGCAAGCCGCTGGGACGCCTCTTCCCCGCTGGGGACGCCACCTTTCCTCCTAAGGACCAGCTTCCCCAACCGGGCGCCCGCCAGCTGTGCCAGGCTTCCCGGATCCTCCGCTGGACCCCCGGGCATGGCGGAGGCCCTTCGGCCGCTTTCCCCCCCCTTCCTTCCTTCCTTCCTCACCCGGACTGACCCCATCGGCGGGGGGCAGAGCGCCCGACCCGAAGCCCCCCGATCCCGGCCGGCGCCCGGCTCATCCCCCGCCGGAGCGGGAGCCTCATCAGGGCAGGAAGCGTCTCCGGGGGTCCCCCAGCCGCCGCGACCCCCGCCCCCTCCCCGGCAAACTTCCCCCGCCAGCCCGGCCGCTCCGCCTGCCTCCCCGCAGCCGAGCCGGGGCGCCCCCCTTAGCGCCCCCTCCCAAGCCCAGCCCAGCCCCCTCCCCACAAAGGCTGCCGGAGGAGGGGGCGGCGGACGCTCCCCTCCCCTCCCCTCGGTGGGCCACCTCTGCTCCCCGCGGCTCCTCCTCCTCCTCCACCACCGGACGCCCCCCCGACCCCCCCCGCTCCCGACGTCGCCCCCAGCCCCCAACTCTGCCCTTCCTGCCCGGCTGGCAGCCACGTGCTCGGGGGCGCCTCCGGGCGAGACTCACCGCCAGCCGGCGCGACCCTCGCCTGGGGCTGGCCGCCCCCCGCCGCCTCCGGGCAGCCGGCGGGGCTCCTCCGTCATCGGTCGGTCGGACCCGGCAGCAGCCCCCCCCCAGGGCCGCCTCGCCCCCCGCCCGCCCCCCCACCCACCGCCGGGCTGGCGCTTTCCCGGAGCGAGGAGACGCGGGCGCCACGTTGCGCCTTCAGCCGCCGGTCGGCAGGGGCGGGAGGGGGAGGGGGGCCGGCGGGAGGGGCCGGCCGGCCGAGCGGGCTGACGAGGCAGCGGAGCTGGAGAAAGCCGAGCAGGGCGGCGAAGCTCACCGGCATCCTGCTCGCCGAGAGCGCTGCACGTGTGAACGGGGCGTAGGAAGCCCACCCGAGTTGCGGGACGGCAGGAAAGTGTGGTGGCTTCAAGGCCGACCCGAGTCTTGGAAGTGGGGGCGGAGGGGAGAGCTTCTGCCTTCACCTAGTTAGCCCCCCCTTCTTCCTCCCCCTGCCGAGTCTCCCCACACCCTCAAAAATCCAGCCCGCCTGCCACTGAACCCCCCAGACCCACAATACCTGTGACACTCGTGCAATATTTGGCGGGAGTGAGCGAGGCAGCACTTACCTGCCGCAAAGGGATGGCAGCGAGGCGTCTCTTGAACCCAGGTCCAACCTTCTGCTTTGAGGCACAAAGTCACCGATTTCTCCACAAAAAGGCGGGTATGAGCCTGGCAGTGTTTAATCCCTATGATCTGGGGAATAAAGTTAACATTCTGTTAGAATCTTGTCACATTTTTTGATTTCTTCAAGGATTTTCAGGCTCTGAGAATTTCATTTTCGGTTTTGTGCGCAGTTCTTCAGATTCACATGTGTTAGCCATCATTCAAAGTAAAGATAAAACATTCGTGGTTTTTTTCTGTTTTTCCCCTCTTCTTGCAACGTCCTCTGTTTAATTCCCTCCAGCCCAAACTCCTTTTCTGAGCTAGGCTAAGAGGTCAGTCTGCAGAGACGCACAGGGCACGAGAAAAAATATATATATCCTGCTTGCATTTATGGTAAGCGGAATTGATCTTCTGGCCTGGAAGTTGAGGCATGAAGCCCCGTCTGTCCAAGTTGGAGAGTCCCCCCCCCCAAAAAAAGTCTGATTGCCTCTTCCTTGGAGGGGTGAATTTTTTAAAAAAGAAAATGGAAACTGTGCTAGAATGGTTGGAAAAATGGGGCAACCAAGAGGATGCCAGTGCGGTTAAACAGCAGGGTCAAGTAAACCACTGGGAGCTAACTTCGGTATAATAGATGGCATGCTGGAGAAGATCAGTCTCCATCCAAATTTGCACAAATAGATCAGAAGCAACATAGAAGCCTTGCTTTGGAAGAGATCTTAGAGGTCATCTTGCCCACCCCGTCTTCCCAGGATTCAGGAATCAAAATATAGGTGAGAACCAAAGTTTAAAAAAAACCCTAAAACTTACAAGTAAAAACAAAAGAGCTAGTTTGATCTAGTGCTTAAGTCCCACCTTAGCCATGAAAGCCGGCTGGGTGACTTTGGGCCAATCAACAGGAGATGGTGAGTTCTAGTCCTGCCTTAGCCATGAAAGCTAGCTGGATGTCTTTGAGCCAGTCCCTCTCTCTCAATCCAGTCCAGCTTACAGGGTTGTTGTGTGGGGAAAATAGGAGGACAAACATGGGTTGGATGTGTTCACCACCTTGAGTTATTTCTTAAAATAGTAAAGGCCAGATACAAACAAAGCATATGAAGAAAGGTATCAGGAATTGAGTATGTCTACTCTAATGAAGAGAAGGACGAGGGGTGACATGATAGCAGTCTTCCAATATTGGGGGGCTGCCACAAAGAAGAGGGGGGGTTCCACCTGTTCTCCAAAGCATCCAAAGGCAGGACAAGAAACAACGGATGGAAACTAATCAAGGAGAGAAGCAACCAAGAACTAAGGAGAAACTTCCTGACAATTAGAACAATTAACCAGTAGAACAGCTTGCCACCAGAAGTTGTGGGTGCTCCATCACTGGAGGTTTTCAAGGACAGCCATTTTTCTAGAACAGTATAGGTCTTCTGCTCAAATGGGGTTGGACTAGAAGACCTCCAGGGTCCCTTCTGACTCTGTGCTTCTGTTCAACCACTCAGGTTGCTGGCCTGCCACCCCCCTTGCCTGAAAGAGATGGCAGAGCAATCGGTGGGAGCCCTTTGAGGGAAGGGGCAGCTGTGCTCCTGCCCAGTGGCCAACTTTTGGGGACCCCAAAAGGGTCACCCCCCCCCCAAGAACAGCTTCCTAACAAACTGAGTTTACAATCAGGGTCTCGTAGGACTATCCAATCAACGATCCCCTTGCACTGAGCTGATCTTGCCTTTTCTGGAGGGAACGGGTTGGTGGGGGGTGCCCCCCATCGTGCCTTTTTTGACCCCAACCTTGAGGGCAGCCTGCAAAGAGGCCGGTCAGATGGAGGCAACTGGAGCCAGCTGGAGGCGGTTGGATTCAGGCCCCACCAGAGACACGAAGAATGGGGAGAAAGCAGGGGGAGAAGGGGGTGTCTTGCGTTTATCTCCCCCCCCCCAATTGGGCCTGATGCATGCAAATCAATACATCTCTTCTCCAGGAGGGGGTGATTGGCAGCCCACGTCGTAGGAATGCTGGGAGACGAGCAGATAATGGACATCTGTCAGCCATAATAGCTGAGGAGGGCCCCCCATGTCACCCTGTGCTTGATTGACGGGTCGGGGCTTCAGGAGGGCAGAGATCACCAGCAACCCCATGGTGCTGGGCAGGCCACGTTGTGTTTCCCAGCAGATGGAGGTGTGCAGAGCGAGGGGGGGGGCTGGATACCTCGCTCCTTTGATGCCCGGGGCTGGCGCAAGTCCCTGGATTTCCTCCATTGCCTCCTCCCCTCTTCGACAAATCAACTCGTCAGGGGTGGCAGCTTGTCATTTTCGAGGTGTTTTTTTTTTAAAGAATCAATCTTGTCTTGATGGGTGGCAGAAAAGGGGGAAGTTTCTCTGCTTGCTTCCAAGCTCCCCCCCCCGAAAAGAAAACCAAATTGGCAAAGCTGCCTTCTGTCAGATGATAGGAACCTTTTTCTTTCTTTCTTTCTCTTTCTTTCTTTCTTTCTTTCTTTCTTTTTCTTTCTTTTTTTCTTTCTTTTTTCTCACTTTCTTTCTCATTTCCTTTCTTTTTCTTTTTTTCTTTTTCTCTTTTTTCTCACTTTCTTTCTCATTTCCTTTCTTTCTTTCTTTTCCCTCCTTTCTTTTCCTTCCTTCCTTCCTTCCTTTTCTTTCTTTTCCTTCTTCCTTTCTATTTATTTTTCTTTTTTATCTGTTTTCACTGTTTCTCCCTCCCTCATTTCCTTCCTTCCTTCCTTCCTTCCTTCCTTCCTTCCTTCCTTCCTTCCTTCCTTCCTTCCTTCCTTCCTTTCCTTCCTTCCTTCCTTCCTTCCTCCCATTCATTTAGTGATCATTCAAAGTCATTAGAATAGTGGAAAAAGTGACTTACGGCAGCTTCTCGCACTTACGACCGTGGCAGCATCTCCATGGCCACATGATCCCAATTTGGGCACTTGGCAACCAGCACATCTTTACGATGGTCGCAGCATCCGGGGGGGGGCATATGATCCCCATTTGCAACCCCCCCCCCAGCCAGCTTCCGACAAGGAAAACCAATCGGTGAAGCCAGATTCATTTAACAATCGCGTGATCTGCTTAACAACTGCAGTGATCCACTTAACAACCGCGGCCAAAGAGGTTGGAAAATTGGACGCGACTGACTTAGCCGCCCTCTCGCTCAGCAACGGACGTTCCTGTCCCAGCTGTGGTCGTAAGTCGAGGACTACCTGTAGTTTGGGAAAAAAGAGATAAAGCACCTTCTTCCAAGCTCAGAGACCCCAATGGGGGGGGGGAGAGAAACACCCCCCCACACTATCCCCCACCCAACGTTGCTTCCATTTGGGGAGCTGGATCTGCCCTGGCCCCATTGAGCCCCCAGCAGGAGGAGTCACAGACCCCTGGTACCCACTCCCACATTTTGCATCTACCTTTTGGCTGCTGTGGAGATCGGGGGGGCCCTCCCCTTCCTTCCTCCCCCCCCCCGCAGTGTGGCTCCTAGCAGGACCTGAATTCCAGAACAGAACGGAACGCCTTTGTATGGAGCAGCCTCCCCCCCCGCCTCCCCCCCTGGCAGCGCTCTCCTCCGAGCGGTGGCATGCATGCCCAACCAGAGAGGGGAGTGCCCGGTGAGGCCCCTGGGAGGGGGGGCAGGCTAGGTATCAGGAGGCCCCCTCCCCATCCCGCCTGAAGGGACCAGGCCCAGGCGTGACCCGTGGCCCAGCTGGGGAGGCCTTTGACACCGGCTGAGCCAGAGCTGTCAGTCAGCGGCTTCCCTTCCATGCCAGGGGGTCTCTGGGGGGCCTCCTCACTGATGCGCTGGTTTCCAGACGCTGCCAGCTGCTGACACAGGCTTGACCCTGGTTAACTCTTGTGCCGCTGGGCGGGCTGGCTGGCTGGCAAGCAGGCAGAGGGGGGGGGGAAAGAAGAGGGGGGCTGCGGCCGGTTGCAGCATCTGGCTTTGCCAGGATGCCGGCTGCATCCTCCGTCCTCAGCTGGGTTTCGGTAGCCCAGGATGGTCGAGGAAGAGAAGCCAGGCTGGTCTGCGGTAGCCAAAAAGTTAGAGGGAGGCTAGAAAGGCATTTTCCAGCCAGCCCTTTTTCTCAAAGGCAGCTGCTTTCATGAGCCTTTAAGAAAGGATTGTTAACAGTAGTTGGAAAAGGTGCTCAAGCTTTCATTTCACTTCATATTTCATTCCATTCCATTTATTATTTCATTTCATTTTATTATCTTATTTAGTTTATTTTATTATTTCATTTCATTATTTTTATTATTTTACTTTATTACTTTATGGCAGTGTTTCTCAACCTTGACCACTTTAAGGCATATGCCTTAAAATGGTCAAGGTTGAGAAACACTGCTTTATGGTATTATTTTACTTATTTTATTATTTTATTTTATTATTTTATTATGTTATTTATTTTATTATTTTATTTTATATTTTATTATTTTATTTTATTATTTTATTCTATTATTTGTAGTCCTTAGCTTACAACATTTAGTGACCATTTAAAGTTAAATCAGTCCTGAAGAAAGTGACGTAGGACCCTTTTTCACACTTACGACCATTGCAGCTTTCCCAGGCTCATGTGATCAGGATTCAGATGCTTGCCAACTGACTCTTACTTATGGCGGTTGCCGTGTCCCAGGGTCACGTGATCCCCTTCTGCAACCTTCTGACAAGCAAAGTCAATGGGGGAAGCTACATTCACTTAACAACTGTGTTACTAACTTATCACCTGCCATGTTTTGCTTAACAACTGTGGGAATAGAATAGAACAGAATAGAATAGAGTCGGAAGGGTCCTTGGAGGTCTTCTAGTCCAGCCCCCTCTCAAGCAGGAGAACCTATACCGTCCCAGACAAGTGACTGTCCAGTCTCTTCTTAAAAACCTCCAGTGATGGAGCGCCCACAATTTCTGGTGGCAAGCTGTTCCGCTGGTTAATTGTCCTCACTGTCAGGAAATTTCTCCTTAATTCCAGGTTGCTTCTCTCTTTGATCAGTTTCCAACTATAGTTTCTCCTCCTTCCCTCTGGTGCTTTGGTAAATAACGTGAAAGGAAGAAAGATTGTAAAAGGTAGTAAAACTCACTTAATAAATGTTTCACTTAGCAACATAAATTTTGGGCTCAACTGTGGCCGTAAGTCAAGGAGTACCTGCGTTCTGTTCTCTTACTCTGACTTGGGACTAAAGAGGTGGAGGGGGTGATGGGGAAATACCTGTACACAACAGGTAGCAAAATTGAGCAATAGCGCCATCTGCTGGCCGTGGAAGCAACTACACAGCACGCTTCTGGTCCAAGTAATTTAAAAGCAAATTAACTCAAGGGAATTAAGGCTATTGTTATCTCATTTCGCTGAGTTAATGGCAGCATATAAACACCGATTTGGATACTCACCTTTTGCATGCAGGCAATTCACAAGCAATGCCCTTTCCCCTCTTTTAGAGTTACACCCTGAAATTAAGAAAAATAAGGAACTTGGAAAGGAAAACTGGTCTTGCTTAATGTTTCAAAGAACAAAATCTTGCATTAAGCAGGGGGCTTAAAAAGAGCTTGTCCTAAGAGCAATTAGTTTGCATTTGATTCTCACTAACAGATATGAGAATCCTGACCAGCGCCAAAATTAACCAACCTTTGCAGCGGAGCTTGCTCTTCGTTTGACCAGCTAGTAGTAACCCAGCCTGCTTACACTCCTGATGTATGGCTTGCACCCTCAAGGTGTGAATATAGGTGTGAATATAGGTAGTCCTCACCTTACGACCATAACTGAGAAATCAAAATTTCTGTTGCTAAGTGAGATTTGACCCATTTTACAACTTTTCTTGCCACTCTTGTTAAGTGAGTCACTGCAGTTAAGTTAGTAACAACACTGTTACAGTAAGTGAACCTGGCTTCCCCAATGACTTTGCTTGTCAGAAAGTCACCGAAGGGGGATCACGTGATCCCGGGACACTGCGACCGTCATAAATATGAACCAGTTGCCAAGTGACTGAATTTGTGACCGCGGGGATGCTGCGACGGTCGTTAAGTGTGAAAAACAATCATGTCACTTTTTTCAGTGCCGTCGTAACTTTGAATGGTCACTAAACAAATTGCTGTAGAGTTGAGGAGTATCTCTACTCTTCAATTACTCCGTAGAGCGCATTGCAGGGTACGAGTGACTTAACTCACTTCCGAGAGGGGGACTTTTGGGCTGGATGTGTAATCAATTAAGCAATTAGCTACCTGCCCTTAAACAAGCCACTTAGCTCACAATGATTTTGTGGGCACAGCAGTGTATTAATAATAGGGTTGCAGCTGCTTAATGTGTGACCGCATCCTTTTTCTGGTGCACTGACGCAAAAGGATCATGACTGGCTGGGGGTAGGGGTGGGGTGGGAGGGGTGTGTGTGTGTGTGTGTGTGTGTGTGTGTGTGAAGAGAGAGGGATATAAGCTTTCTAATTGCTGGGTGCAATTCTACAAAGCAAAATATTTAATTAAGTAAAAAGCTTGTCACGCAAATCACTGGGACTGGCTGAGATTAATAAACAGCGAAGGGGATCATAAGAGAGTAGGGTAAGGAGAGGGGCAACCAGCAAAGGTTTGGCAAATGGTCATCCGTGCATCATCAGTGCTCTTAAAGAGTGGGGTTCGCTCACCAAATGCCACTCCTTACTAGCACTGATGATATTGCCTAGTTTGGTTAATGAAACGTCTGCAAGAAAACAACCAAGCTCAGAGAGCATCAAGGACCCCTGAATTAATTCCATGTCCCGGCAGAGTTTAAAAGCAGAGAAGGGACTGCTTGCAAATACAGCCCCATTCCAGTATTCCTGCTGCAACAAAGGGGGTCCTGACCAAAGATTACCCCCCCTACTTCCTCTCCTTTCCCTCAGATTGCAGCATCATAATTCACATTCAAGTTCTCCTGTAAATATCCATCCCAAGAATTTACCAGCATCTGCAAAGCCCAAAGACATGCAAAAACTCACATAAACCAAACCAAACCCAGTTAGTTCTAACTTTGGCAAACCAAGGCAACTCCTTAGGCAAATCCTAAGTTTAAAACTCCTGCGGATTGGGGCTTTCACTCTTTCAAAGTTAAGTTCTGCTTTGACCTTCGGAAAGGCAGTAAAAATGTGGCTTTTTGCTTTGAACCTGATCTTTCAGGAGAAAGATAGGGCTGTGATATTTTGGATTTTTACTGCTTGTTTTGGGGTTTATTTTACTGTGTTTGGTGCTGGCCGGAGCTGCAGCATCTAAATTGGGCAGCCGTAACAATTCTTAATAAAAATAAAATAAACTCCCACTCTGGGAGGTAAAAGTGATGCAGAGATGGCATTCAACTAAAAATGCATCCGCTCAACACTAGAGGGCAGCAATAATAATAATAATAATAATAATAATAATAATAATAATAATATAAAGTTGGAAGGTACCTTAGAGGTCATCTGATTCTAGTCCAACCCCCTGCTCAGGCAGGAAACCCTACACCATCTCGGACAAATGGCTGCCTAATCTCTTCTTAAAGACTTCCAGTGTTGGAGCATTCACCGCTTCTGGAGGCAGGTTGTTCCACTGGTTAATTGTTCTGTCAGGAAGTTACTCCTTAGTTCTAGGTTGTTTCTCTCCTTGATTAGTTTCCATCCATTGCTCCTTGTCTTGCCTTCAGGTGCTTTGGAGAATAACTTGACTCCCTCTTCTTTGGGGCAGCCCCTAAGATATTGGAACACGGCTATCCTGTCCCCACTCGTCCTTCTCTTCATTAAACTAAACATACCCAATTCCAGCAACCGTTCCTTGTATGTTTTAGCCTCCAGCCATCTGATCATCTTTGTTGCTCTTCTCTGGACTCTTTCTAGAGTCTCAACATTTTTTTTACATCGTGGTGACCAAAACTGGATGCCGTATTCCAAGTGTGGCCTTCCCAAGGCATTGTAAAGTGGTGTTAACACTTCACGTGATCTCGATTCTATCCCTCTGTTAATACAGCCTAGCACTGTGTGGGCCTTTTTGGCAGCTGCAGCACACTGCTAGCTCATATTTAGGTGATTGTCCACTAGGACTTTCTCAGTTACTACTATTGAGCAAGGTACCTCACTTCACCTTTGTAGGCTCAGGCTATTTGCTGATATTCCGCCTTAGTTATGTGCTCCTTTCCACTTGTTATACATGTCTTTTTTGTCTTTCAATTTATCAGACAGTTCTTTATGCAGCCATGCTGGTTTCTTTTGAGAGCTGTTATTTTTCTTCTTCGTTGGTATTGTGCTAGACTAGGCTTTTATTAATTCACTTTTCAAAATTTCCCAAGCTTCTTGAGTTGTTTTCCCCTTGAGGATTCTCATCCATGGAATCCTTCCCAAACTACATTGCAGGATGCTGACAAATTTGTTTGTTTTGGTAAACTGGTCACTGAACTTCCCAATAACGCACAAAGGATTTTATATCGGAATAATGGAGGCAAGGCAGGAGGGCTGGACCTCCAAGCAGAAGCCAGAAGGAGATACTTTCATTGGGAATCCTGAACCAGGATACAGAGATCTCAAGGACCTCTCCCAATTTTAGGGCCACAAGATCCAGGTCAACACAAATGTGCCCCTCGAAATCCGAATGTGCAAGTCGCCTGCCTGACTGCAAACTTAAGAAGTGAAGAAGCTTCTTGGATGAGAAGCGAAACGTCTTCAAGGAAAAACAAAGTCCAGTTGCCTTTTGGAAAAAGCGTCGTTGGGGCAACCATGACCTGGATGACTGGGAATCTCCATAGACACAAACTTAAGCGGGCCCAAGGTAGGCGAGGCCTTTGTTCTTTTGACACTCCACCTCAGGGGAACCTGGCAATCAAATCACTGTCTCCAGTTGGACCTTTTGGACAAGAACAAGCGATTCCAGGAGTTGAAGTCCACACATCTTCAAGTTCATTAGCATTCACTGGCTGGGGAAGTCTGGGAGGTGAAGTCCATCCTTCTTCCAGAAGCCCAGGTTGAAAAATACTGAACAGAAGCCCACAAAAGCAGGACAAGCAGAAAAAACACACTTTTTTTTAACAAGATTGATTTATTAACTATGATACATATCACATAAGGCCTTTAAGTTTTTACACCATTCCCATTGAGACACATACAATATTCTGTAGCAAATAACATGATTTTTTTTCCTGTTTAAATTCAGCAAAAAAGGGGGCTTTTCGTTGTTTGCCCAGAGACTTCAACAATTTCATGCACTAATTGGATGGGCTGAGGGGGGAGTGGGGGAAGAGAAAGAACCACAAAGAGTTAAAAACGTCCTTAATAGAAGCATAAAAAGGAAATATAGTCTATCACCAATAACTAAAGGATGTCGTTAGGCTCCTAAAAATACAGAGAAATAACCATTATACTTTTTTTTTCTTTTTCTTTTTACATACAGGTCTTTTCGGTAATTTTTGCTTGCTTTTTCTGAAGAGTGTTTTGGGCACAGGTTTAGCTGGAACTACTACCACGTTTTATCACCATTCATCATTGTCTTCTTCAATTAAAATGTTAATCCAACATAGAGATAATTTTACAATGTGGAAATACAAGTACCAGGAAAAAAAACAAAACCAAACAAAACAAAAAGTGGAGGGCAGAACTAAACCTAACTTTTCCAAAGTTTTATTTCCATACAATTTGAGAAATGGATGTGGCTTTTTCTTTTTTTAATATACACAGGAAAAAATTAAGATTATTTTAAACAATAACTTATGCCTTGCTTTAAACTACATTTAGAATACAATATTTCTATTGTATTTCCATTTTACTGAAAGGGGAGGGAGGGGATTAAACGTAACAGTTAGACTAGGACCTATCGAGAGGGGGCAGCGAGGGGCAATGAACCCCCACAATGGGACCACTAAAGAATACTGACCAGATGAGCTGAAGACAAACTAACCTGCCACGTTAGGGGAAGCCACCGGCTGGTTAGAGAACAAACAAAGGGCGAAACCAAAGCCAGAAGTGAATCCCATTGTAGGAAATTTAAAAGAAAAGCTAAGCCAGATTTTGAACGCCACTGCTAAGTCACCGACAAAACGATCCAGATGAGCAATTCAGTACTTTACTTTGAGACGAGGCTTTAAAAATGTACGCCAGCCCCCGACTCTGCACGGGGGCGACCGAACGGGAGGCTCCCAGGAACCAGAGCTGGAGAGCCTCAAAATGCCTCTGGTTTTTCACTGGGAAGGGGGAAATGGGGGGGGGGTGTCTTCATAAGAAAAGGAGAGCCACCAACCTGCTGGGCCTCTGGCTGCCCAGCAGTGCGCTGGAAGGGAGCAAGGCCGCAGTGGCGGGGCGTGTCCATTAAAAGCCCACGGGGAATTGTCCAGCGCACATGATGGGATGCATAAATGCTGCCGCTGTCTCGATGACGGCCCCTTCGTCTGGACTGGGGAAAATCCACAGGACGATGAATGGACATCGCCTCCGGCATGTGCAAAGGGACGGGGCTGCTCGGGAGATGTGCTGCCCAAAAAAAAAAAAAAAAAGCCCCAGGAAATCCAAAAGGTAGGTAGGTTGTTTGGAGGCACCTGGCCCAATGTAAGGGCCACCCAATGCCAACTGGTCCCAGAAGAGGGAATGGCGACGGGCGAGGGAAGCCACTGCAACTCTGCAGAAATGCTCCCATCTTGGTTGAGAGGCCTGGAAAACTGACCCCTTTCCCGATCTTAAGGCCAGCAACAGAGGCCACAAGCTGGCCCTTTCTCCAAGCTCAAGCCCTGGTCTCCCAGGCTGGGGGCCGAAGCCAGGGGCCTCGGGGCAAGCCCTGTCCCCACGGCCCAGCTAGAGGCTGAACACGAGATTAAGGGAGGCTGCCCTCCCTAACTGCAGGAGTTACTAGCAATTGTTAAAAGAGAGATTTTTTAGCACACTCACAAAGAAGGCACAGCGGCACTCAACGCGTGCTGAACAGAAGCCCCGTCCCAGGTGGGAAACGGCGTCCCACACCAGCCCCCCATTTGGGTCAACAGCCCAAAGACTGCAGCTCAGGTGGGATTTCCATTTATTTTTTCCCGCCCAGGAAAAAAAGGTCAGAAGGGAATTTTTCCAGCCTTCTCGGCCTCCTTCCTACAAGCTTTCGGTCCCCCCCCTCCCCGTCTGTGTGTTTGGTTCACATGGCGCATGCATAATGGAGGAGGGGGGGCTGATGCCATGTTCCTTGTCAGAGTGGAAAACAAACCCTTTCTATTATTTACACAAAAGGCGGTGAGAGTTATAAAAAACGAGGAACGCTTGCAAAGAGGGGCTTTTAAAGCACACGATTCTGACACAGATACAACTTTTAAATGTGGTTCTAAAATAAGGAGTACATAATTCAGCTTATTTATAAGAGAGAGAGAGAGAGAGAGAGAGAGAGAGAGAGAGAGGGAGGAAGAGAGAGAGGGGGGGGAGGGAGGGGAAGGAAGAGGGGCTCTGGATACCAGGAAGCAGAATGGAAGTGGAAGAGAAGTTTGGGGGGGAGGGGGGATGGAGAGGGTGGGAGAAGGACCGGAATTTCACTCCCACCCAACGAATGTAACACAAATATCCTCGAAAGGCTTAAAAACAGCAATAAACCACAGGTTTCATTTTAAAGTGCGAAAAGATGGTGAGGATGGCATAGGGATCGCTCCCCTGTCCTCCCAGTGGTACCGTGGAAAGTCCAGTTCAAACTGCCCCATTGATGAGAATATACCCCGCTCCCTCTTGCACGCTCACACACACACACACAAACAGCCAGACAGAGACACAAACAGGGCAGTTTACCAGGCACTGCTGATACACAATCCCCTTCACGTACCCGGTGCAGAAACCCTGACCGGTTCTCCCGAGGGGTTCATCTGCGGCGCCTCCCCAACCAGGAAGCTGGCTTTGCGCGAACCCCTTTGGGGAGGAGGGGGAGGCCCCCGGGGGAAGGGCTGACGGGGCCCGCCGAAGGCTTCCAGGGCAAGGGAGAAGCTGCCCCTGGGCCATCCACTGGCCTGGCGCCCAGGAAGGGGATGGCGCTGAAGGGGGCACAGGGGCAGGGCTCTGCTCAGGGGTTTGAAGCCTTTCCCATCGGCCCCGCGTCCCCCCCGCAGGGCTGCCATCTTCCTGGTGGGGCAGTGAAGCCTGGGCTGCCCCAAGGAGCTGGCTCAGAGCTCCTGCACCGAAGCAGCCAGAAACAACCCCCTTAGTCCCCCCCCCCTTCAACCCTCTTTTTGCCCATCTTTTTTCCAGTCTCCTCTGAGAGACTCAAGCGAAGCGGCCTTTCCAATACGCCACTCTTGCCTTTTTCCAATTTCTAGGGGGTGAAAGGAAGGGAGGTTTGCAGGCTAGCGCTGCTCTCTCTTTGCTAGCAATGCTTCTCCCCCCCCCCCCATCACCTCTTCTCCCCACTTGCTTCCAACCAGGCACACACACGCACGCACACACACGCACACAACCAACAACAGTGTTTCTGTCAACGTAGTGTTCCAAAGGAGTCCAACCCCAGGCCCGACAGCAAAACCGCAATCTGCTTTGCAAGTGGATGTGAGCCTTCCTTCTGCTCCTCTCTTTCTCTCCTCTGCTAAGTGCTAACACCCATATCCTTCCAGGGCAGGCGAGGGAGGAGGGGAGGCAGGGAGGCGGGGGGGGGGGGAAGAAGGGGGTGAGAGGGATGCCATGATTTGTCGTAGGGGGACAGCACAGCCAGCAGGGCGGCCCTGCGGCGTCACTGCCCGGGAAACTCTGCCAGCCGCGAACGGTCCGGACTCTTCTTCCTCCCTATTCCGAGACTTTTGGGTCAAGAGGACGTGACATTCCAGCCTTTGCTTGAGTTGAGTGGATCCAGCTTGTCTGGGCTACTACTGGGGATGGGCTAAATTGGTCTGAAGGAAAGAGACGGTCCCCAAACAGAGGTGAGATGTCCAGCACTGCAGGATAGGCCTCCATTGTTCCTGGAATGTGCTTGGGGGGAGGGGGGAGGGAAGGAGCCCCCCTCTTGCTTCACAGTCCTCTCTGTCCAGGCACGGATTGAGGCCGAGGAAGGGGGGGTCCAACACCCCGACTGGGCTTAAACCTGCCTCGCTTGCTTGGGTCCGAGTCGATCCTGATGGAATGGACGCTGCCTGGGAAAGGGGTCCAGACTCTCCTCCTGCTTGTAGCCCCGGGGTGCCCTCCTGTGCCAGCCCCGAGGCCGAGCAAGGCTGCAGAGGGGGGTCCAAGGCGCCAGCCCGCCGCTGCTCGGCCCAACACAAGTCTGAAGCCCAACGGCGGAGGCGAGGGCGGGCCGACAGACGCCAGGGAGGATCCGCTTCCCACTCTCGTCCTGTGTGTCATCGGAACGGAGGCCTTTCTTCCTGACCCGGCCCGCTGTTCACAGTGTGTGCTGCTCGGCCTGGAGCTGCGGCGGGAGCAGGGCCTGCAGGGGCGACTGGGGCGAGGGGGGCGGCGTCTGGGGCGGGGAGGGCTGGGCCATCATGGGCGTGGAGGAGAGGAACGGGGCGCAGACGGGGAGGGCCGAGGGGGAGTTGGGGGTGGCGCCGGGGAGCTCGGCGATGGGCCGGCTGTAGAAGAAGAAAGCGCACTGCTGGATGAAGAGTTCGATGATTGTCTGGTAGATGCGGGTGGCGGTCAGGGCGTCCATGGTGCTGAAGTCGGGCCGCATCAGGGTGGGCCAGAAGCAGATGGAGAGGTTCTCGCTGGTCATCAGGTTGGTGCGGTTGTTGTGGCTCACTCTGCAAGGACAAAAGGGGGGGGGGTCAGGCATGGGAAGCAAGGGCCGTCCCCCACCCCTCCCAGAGGCACCTGCGGCTTTCCCACAGCTCCCCGGCCTCTGGGGATGATGAGCTGGGAATGGGGGATCCAAAACACAGGTGGTCCTCGGCCTACAACCATTTAGTGACCAATCAGAGTTACAACGGCATTTCTCGCACAACCGTTGCAGCCTCCCCGTGGTCACGTGATCAAAATTCAGACCCTTGGCAACGGACTCGTGTTTATGACAGTCTCAGTGTCCCGGGGGGAGGGGGGGTCACATGATCCCCTTTTGCAACCTTCTGATAAGCAAAGCCGGGGGGGAAGCCGGATTCACTTAATGACCGTGTCACTCACTTCACAACTGCAGGGATTCCCTTAACAATTGTGGCAAGAAGGGTGGCGAAACAGGGCAAAACTCACTTGGCAACCGCCTCGCTTAGCAACAGAAATGTTGGGCTCAATTGTGGTCGTAAGTCAAGGACTATCTGTAGGGGGCTACCCTTGAAAAGCGTCCAGAAGCTTCACATGGTTCGAGCTGCTTTTGTGCAGCTCCAGGGGTTCTCCTCTGGCGATTTGCTGTCGGGGGGACAACTCAAGGCGGTGGGGTGACTCTCAGGTGTGAAGCCCTACATGGGGCCGGGTTATCTGAAGGGCTGCCTTTTCCCAGGTACGTGTACCTGAACCCCCAGTATGGGGAGGAAGGGAACATTAGGGCAATCCTCTCTTAAGAGTAGGGAAGGGCTGTCGGGATGTCCCCCCCTCCACCGGTGTCAGTGAAGCTGGCCCTGAAGGCCTGACGGTGGTTTTGGGGCTGGTGAACCGGAGAAGGAAGAGCACAGACTGGGTCTCTCTCGGGAGCCAATGCCCGACGTCCACACTGGAGAAAACCAGGGAGGTTCTAGACCTCACCAAAAAAAAAAAAAAATTTCCCCCCTGGGCTGCTGATAACCTCATGATAATTATTAACCTGGTGATCATCATCTTCTGATATCCGGGAGAGCACAATCTATCAAAAGGGGATAAATCTGAGAACGCCGCCTTGCTTAACTGGGAGAAATGTCGGGGAACGGATTCACCCTGGGAAGGCCCTGCTGTCCCAGCGGAGGACATTTATTTATGAGACTTATTTATTTATGAGACTTATATACCGCTTTAAGTGCAAGCACTCTCTAAGCGGTGTACACCAGTAAGCAATATATATGTATATATATATATATATACATATACAATGTGTGTGTATATATATATATATTCTACATTGCCCCCAACAATCTGGGTCCTCATTTTACCTACCCCGGAAGGATGGAAGGCTGAGTCAACCTTGAGCCGGTGAGATTTGAACCGCTGACCTGCTGAACACAGTCAGCTAAAGTGGCCTGCAATACTGCACTCTAACTGCAGTCTACTCATGACCCCCCCCCCCCGTGTTTCGCTTTGAGGCATCACATCCAGGGCCATGGAGCGGCCAACTGCGCCAGCTCCTCTCAGAGGGTGGCACTTACTTGTTCAAATGAGAGATCACATATCTGAAGACCTCGTGGTTCTCCTTGGGGAATTTCTTCAGCACCTCTTTAAGGGCGTGCAGCTTCTGCTCCCGGTCGTTAATCTCTGCGGAAGTGGAGAAAGGGGAAAAGGTGTCTTTTCGAGGAGCAGAGGAGCAGTGGAGGCTCGCCAGCTGAGAAACTGCAGGCATCAGCAGGTCCTGCTTAAGGGATAAACCAGCCTACCCCGGCCTGACCCCCCACGCCCCCCCCCATTAGCTGAGTCTGCCCTTACAAAGTTGTCCTAGGGCAGAGGGCAGGCTAAGGCGGCCGGCTAGGAATACAAAAGTCTTACAAATGGCAATCAAAACCTCCGAGAATTTATTCAGCCAGGTGAATCATCTGTCAAATATTGCTTATATGAAGAACACAAGGAATACTTGGCAATTAAAATTAATTTCCTTCCCCTCCCCCCAAATTACTATAAGAAGTACCAGATACTACAAACCTACACACATTGGGCAATTCTCTCTGCATTTTTCTTCCCCAAATTCCGAGAACCATAGAACTTCAAACTACTGGCAGAACTGAACTAGCGAGAAGCTGGGCGCTCCTAGTTAAAAGCCTCGTACTTTATGAAATCAGCTCCATTTAAATCAGGAAGGAGACAATGGTTCTTCAGCAGCACTTGGAATAATCAACCCTTCTCAAATGCTCACAGAAAGGCCCAGGTGTGATGCTTTGGGAGTCAGGCACAGTTCCGGCCTTAGGCACAGAGCCAGCGGTTGATCCTGGGCCAGTCACTTTCTCTCAGCCCTAAGAAGGAGGCAATGGCAACCCACTGCTGAAAAACCTTGCCAAGAAAATTGCAGGGCCTGCTCCAGGCAGTCTCCAGAATCAGACACGACTGAACGGAAGAAACCACAAACACACACATACACACCCACAGCCTTGCTTAGCAGCCAAGCATTAGTACATAAGCATTTACGCTTTTATTTACCAGGTCTTTTTCACCCTGTTAATTAGTTTTAATCGTTAGGTTCCTTAGCCGTTTCTTATCTGCACTGATAGCATGAGGGCAATTCTTTCACTTATCACATCTGCGCTTTTTAATTTATGCTTGCCAACGCCTTAGAATAATAGCCCAAGATGCTGGTGGTAATAAAGTTAAACCAGACTTTCTGAAATTTTTGCTTGAAAGGGTTACATTAAAGGCGTCTGTGGCAGCCACAATTAATATTATCGGAGGCTGTCTGCAGAGGAAGCCAGCTCCTTGATCAACAGCAGCCTTTCCCTCTGTTCTGCAGCTTTTAAAAAGGGCACCAACGTCACGGGGGTGAACCCGCCAGCGGAGAGGACAGTGTTCTGACTTATTTTTTATTGCAAAAAGTATCTTTTAGAGCAACTAAAGGAAAGCATCATTTGTCAGAGGTACCTCAGAGACAGCTTCTAAAGTAGAGACGCCAAACTCCATTTGGACAGACCACACCGTTAAATATTTAAAGAGCTCTTCGCGCCGCTCTGAGCGCCGACAATTTTAAGTGCCTCTGCAGTGAAATTCAGGATTGTCAACAGCAGCACTGCTGGCTCCAAAAAAACAGAGATCTGTTTGGACTTTGGCACGGTTTGAAAACAGAACAGAGGCTTCCCAAAACAGTCCCCAGGCCAGAGATTCTCAACCTAGTTCTTCTTTTCATTTGAGGGGTTTTATTAGTCTCTTCTTCATTTCCAAGAAATAGTCTAGAGAATTTCTCTGGCTTCGATTTCATGGGCCTCCAACTCTACAGCCTAAAACTCTGCCTTCTTCCTCCATTAGATAGACCGCCGTTCCCTACCAGCAAACCTTCTCTGCCGAAGCCTGGGCTGAAGTCATTTGAGTGGATTAACGAAGATAATAAATAAAACAAGGAAAGCCTACAACAGTGGTTCTCCACCTGTGGGTCGGGACCCCATTTGGGGTCGAACGACCATTTCATGGGGGTCGCCAAACAACGCAGTCCACCATTTTCCCCCCCTTTTCCTTAGCTGTGCTACTCCCTTTTATTCTATTGGCTTTTGAAAGCCAATAGAATAGACTCTCTTGAATAGAGTCTAATTCTATTGGCTTTCAAAAGCCAATAGGAATTGTCCAGGCTGTCTCTGCCCTACTGAGCCCGCCAAAAGTCCCATTCTGCAAATGGTGCTGCACCAGTTGAGTAGTCCTCGACTTACAACCGGTTGGGGGGTCGCGGCATTAAAAAGGTTGAGAACCACTGTCCTAGATTGAAGATGCTGCTTCAGCAGCCCACATGCAAGGAGACTCTTTTCTATTCTGCTTTCGTTTCTAACTCTAGGTGGAGCCACCGAATCCCATCATTCTATGGCAACGACATTGCCGGACATGCAATTTGGATGTTCAACATCTCACAAGCGAGTGCTGGTAGAAAACCGCCCTTTGTGGGTTCGCTTTCAAAAACCAAACGCTTCGCAAACACGAAGGACTCTCCCTTCGGCGTTTTGAGAAGGGCTGGCCTTGATCGCTGACGGGCACATACTCACTGTGGGCCTCCACCAGCTCGATCTGCATGTTGTAGGGCACCAGGGGTTCCGGCAGCTCTGAGAAGAAGCTCTTCATGGCTCCAGCTACAGCATTCACAGTGAAATCCTTCTCAGCAAAGTCCAGGTTATGATCTGTGAGGAGAGGATTCGGGGGTTAGGCTGCTCTATCGTGCCTGCTCAAAGAACTGCAAAGAAGCGGGAAAAACCCCAGCTAAAAGGTCAGCGGTTCTTGAAATATCAGCCAGATGGTTGTGGATGGAAACTAGACCGACGTTTATCTGCAGGAAGATATCTCCGCACCAGAATCTCCCCAAGTACAGGTAGTTCTCGACTTCCAAAGGTTCATTTAGTGACCGTTCATAAGTTACGTCACTGAAAAAAAATGACTTGTGACTATTTTTCACATTTACGTCCACTGCAGTCTCCTCCACGGTCATGTCATCAAAATTTGGCAACTGGTTCATACCGATGAGGGTTGCAGCGTCCTGGGGTGTGTGTGTTTGTCATGTGATCCCCTTTTGTGATCTTCTGACAAGCAAAGTCAGTGGGGAAGCCAGATTCACTTAACAACCGGGTTACTAACTTAACTGCAGTGATTCACTTAACAACTGCGGCAAGAAAGGTTGTAAAATGGGGCAAAATTCATTTAACAACTGCCTTGCTTAGCAACAGAAGTTTCGGGCTCAATTGTGGCCGTTTGTCGAGGACTACCTGTATTTTGATCCTGCTGGGAGAAGCAACTGGTTGTCCCCCACACTTTGGAGCAGTGTTTTTCCCTAAGGGCAGGGATAGGCAACCTTGGCTCTTTCATGACTCGTGGACTTCAACTCCCAGAATTCCTGAGCCAGGAATTCTGGGAGTTGAAGTCCACGAGTCATGAAAGAGCCAAGGTTGCCTACCCCTGCCTAAGGGGGGGCTGACCCTCTGGAATGACCTCCCAACGGAGGTGCACTGGGTCTCCGTCTTGGGTGGCCTTCCAGAAAAAGTTAAAAACAAGAGTCCCCACCCTCACCCCAAAAGCCGTCACCCCACAAACCACGACTGCATCCCTAAACCGCTTCCCCCGTCTCAAGCAGAAGCGTACCTTGGTCAAATTGCCGCTGTAAACTTTCCATTTCAGATTTGTTTCCACTCACCCGGTAGATCCCTTCGGTACTCAACCCTGGTGGGGAGGAGAGGGGAGAGGAAGGAGAGAAGAAGATTAGAGCAGCGCAAAAGTGCAAATCTGAAGACAACCTTACCAGGAAAGAAATATTTTATGGAAGACTGAGCAGAGAAGCCTTCTGCCCGGAAAACGGCGGCACAGAGATGCCAGTCGTGATGTCATTCCTTCTAGCAGCGATGAGGTTACCTAGTTGGGTAATGAAAGGTCTGCAAGAAAGCAACCAAGCTCAAAGAGCATCAAAGGCCCACAGGCTTTCCCTTCCTCCTCCCCCCCTCCTCTCTACATACTCCCTCTCTTCTAGAACATACTTGGGTCATGAAACATCTGAAAGAATACAACCAAGCTCAGACAGCACCCAGGACCCCACCCTCCTCCTCCTCCCTTTTAGCACTGATGAGATTACCTAGTTGGGTAATGAAACGTCTGCAAGAAAACAGCATAGCTCAGAGAGGACCCCCAAGTCACAATACTGAGGAAAATGTGATTTTGTATTAAATTTGCACTCCGTTCCACTTTCAAAGTACCGAGAGACATGAGTGGCCATTAGTGTCCCTTTCTTCTTTCCTTCCAACTACTAAAGCTCTCTTAAATTGGTAAAAAGACAGAAAGAGCTCTGGAGCAAATAAACTAGCAGCGGAGGTGATAACTAGAAAACAAACTGAAGTAGAAATGGGTGATGAATAACCTCCTGCCTTTCTGCTTTCTGTATCACATCTATCCATGTGGCTGGAACTGTTTATATTATACCTTTGTGGTGGATTTTAATTGCTCCGAGATGCGGTGGGGAGATAATGATAGCTAAAAGTATAATTACTAGAACCCTGCATTAACCTCACGCCCCTGCAGAAATGTGTTGAAATTATATTTCCTAATTACAAAGAGCTATAAATGACCTGCAATGAATGGCTAAGGCATTTTTTTTTTGCAAATTTGGGGGGGGGGAGAGAGGAGAGGGTGGTATAAATGAACCACCTGATCACTGCACATATCAAAAACTGGGACCGTCCACTGCACAAATGCTAAAAAATGCTCTAAGTTCACCAACTCCCTTTATAGTGACTCTGTGATTATAGACAGTCCTCAACTTACGACCATTGGTTTGGTGACCGTTCAAAGTTACAACGGCACTGGAAAAAGTGACTTATGACCGGTTTTCACATTTACAACCTTTGCAGCATCCCCGTAAGCACACAATGAAAATTCAGACGCTTGGCAACTGGCATGTACTTTTGACGGTTTGCAGAGTCCCGGGGTCATGTGATCACCATCTGTAACCTTCCCAGCTGGCTTCCAACAATAAAATCAACAGAGGAAGCCGGATTGACTTAATGACTGCATGATTCTCTCATAACCACATAATCTGCTTAACGACTGTGGTAAAAAAAATCATGAAACGGGCAAAACTCACTTAATGATGGCCTGGCTTAGCAACAGAAACTCTGGGGTCAATTGTGGTCGTAAGTTGAAGACTACCAATATATACTTCAATATGAGAGCATTTTCCTTCCAAAGAAAGAAACCAAACAACTTGACTCTGGTTTAAATCGCTGCAGCGAAAAAGCAATGTTTAGTAATATTTCCTGCAATCCACTTCCATGTTTATGTTATAAAATCCTGTTTTACACCCAATGCTTGTCACACACAGAACTAGGCAGGCGTTGTGTACTCAGAACAGTAGGTGAACTATTACAATAGACAGGTTTTTGTGCCAAAACCAAGCTTCTTTGCTGACAGATACACATCTCATTCACAAGCAGGCAAAACAGAGGCCACTAAAGCTCGTGACCCATTCGGTGGCGATCCAAAACACTTGTTGTACAAGAAACCTGGAATGTCACTTCCCACGGTTTAATTTGGGCTTAAAAATTACGCATCGTAAAATTTCCCTTTACACTACAGGTCATCCTTGACTTACAACCACAGCTGAGCCCAATGTTTCTGTGGCTAAGTGAGACATTTGTGAAGTGAGTTTTGCCCCATTTTACGACTTTTCTTGCCTCAGCTGATAAGTGAATCCCTGCAGTTTTCAAGTGAGTAGCCTGGCTGTTCCGTGAACCTGGCTTCCCCACTGACTTTGATTGTCAGAAGGTCGCAAAAAGCAATCATGCAACCGTCATAAATGTGAGTCAGCTGCCAAGTGTCTGAATTTTGATCACCTGACCACAGGGATGCTGCTGCAACGGTCATCAGGGTGAAAAGTGGTCCTAAGCCACTTTTTTTAGTGCTGTTGTAACTTTGAACGGTCACTAAACGAATGGTTGTAAGTTGAGGACCCCCTGTACGGGAACAACACAGCACTGGAGCAAGAGGGGAGGGAAACTAATCCCTTTCCTTCCCCAACATCCTTGTCCACATCCACTCGAGAGTACTCAACAGTGTCACGGATCATTTTTAAGGCGGCATCCTTTGAAGCTTACGCCTTGCTTGGGTCATATTTGTGGACGCCATTAAGGCAAACCGAATGGGGCTCTGTGACCCAGGAGGACCGACGCAGGCCTTCTTACATGCGGGCCGATCCCCGATGGCTTCCTGTAAGCAGCCCACACGCTCCATTCATCAGTCATGCCCAGAGCAAAGCTGTAGCAGGGCAGCTAATGGGCTTCCGCTAGTGGAAGACACAAATATAATAATGCCTCTTGGAACTAAGGCCTTCCTTTTTTCCCACTGCCCTTTGATGCAACAGAGAAGCCCATAGTGTCCAATCGAGTTACTCCATCGCACACGGTCGTTTCCAGAATGGGACAATTGTGAGAAGTTGGAAATTATGCAGCAACGCCTCCCCATCCTTGCTGAAGGCAGCAAACAGTCTCCAAATATAGCTGCCGCGCTCCTCCGTGATGGAAGGACAATTGTTTTGCTGTATATGCAAATTAACGGCCAGGGTTATTTGACCTGGTTAATGATCGACAGAGGGAAAGAAGCCTAAATTAGGGGAAAGAGGCAGGACTAGGAAGTTTTCAAGGCATGTTGAGAACACCTGAAGGCAGAGCAAGAAGTAAGGGATGGAAGCTTATCAAAGACAGAACCAACCTAGAACTAAGGAGGAATTTGTGAGAACAATTAATCAGTGGAACGACTTGCCTCCAGAATTTGTGGGTAGTCCATCACTGGAGGTTTTTAAAAAGAGATTGGACAGCCATTTGTCTGCAACGCTATAGGGTCTTCTGCATGAGCAGGGGGTTGGACTAGAAGACCTCCGGGGCCCCTTCTGTTATTCCATTATAATGTGAACGGCAGAAAACTTTCAAAAGCGAACACATAGTAATCATCTATTTTTAAAAAAATCTAACAAATCTGTACGTTTCTGTTCAAATCTTATCTCAGTTGTTGCTCAGCTCTTCGCTTACCATTCCATAAAATGGGAATAGTACCAGCTGAAGTATGGCTGTAAAACAGCTTATTAGGTAGGCTCGATCTCAACAAACAAAATTCTCAGCTAGCAAAAACTCAAGGATGCAAGCTAGCTTATTCTCAAAGTATATATTTATAACCTGCTCTTTTCCACATCATGTCTTTCAAGGAACTTTTGCCTAAATATGGCAATAAACTGCACCAAAAATCTGTGTTTTTCTGTAAACATTTCATTTTTGAAAGCAGATAATCAGCCTTTCAACACGCTGTTCGATGTCCATCCTATATTTAGCACTCTTCTTGCAGTGTTAGAAAATATTAAAAATATTCCTGCAAAAAAATCAAAATGTCTAATTGATCCAAGCTTATAACTGAATTAGAAACATGTTAAGGTGCCATTTGCTATCAATGATGTCAGCCCAAACAAAATTTGCTTTTGCTCAAATCTGTGTGAAAAATGTGATTAGTATGAAAGTGGAGAATAGCAGAAATGCATTTAGCTTACATCACAAGCGATATTTGGGGCCTCTTGGAAGTCTGGTAAACTTATAGTCACCTCGGGGGGGGGGGATGATTTAAATGCATTAAATATGTCATAGATTGTATTATAAAGGAAACAAATTATGCTCAAGTACAATGATTGAAATATTTTAAAATATGCAATATGACAATATATATGGCTTTCCCAACTTATTAAACTAATAAAAGAGAAGCTAATTTTCAGTTAGTGCAGTGGTTCTCAACCTTTTTAATGCCGCGACCCCCAACCGGTCGTAAGTCGAGGACTACTCAACCGGTCGTAAGTCGAGGACTACCCAACTGGTGCAGCACCGTTTGCAGAATGGGACTTTTGGTGGGCTCAGCAGGGCAGAGACAGCCTGGACAATTCCTACTGGCTTTTGAAAGTCAATAGAATTAGACTCTATTCAAGAGAGTCTATTCTATTGGCTTTCAAAAGCCCATAGAATAAAAGGGAGCAGCACAGCTAAGGAAAAGGGGGAAAAAATGGCAGACTGCGTTGTTTGGCGACCCCTGTGAAATGGTCGTTCGACCCCAAATGGGGTCCCGACCCACAGGTGGAGAACCACTGAGTTAGTGATCAGTGAAAAGGCAGTTATTTTTCTTTCCCATTGAAGTTCATAGACTCCCTGAAATCTGATCTTGGTTAAAACGCTTGGCCTACATTGTCACCTAGAACAGTGTTTCTCAACTCTGACCACTTTAAGACCTGTGGACTTTAACTCCCAGAATTCCCCAGCCAGCCATGCTGGCTGGGGAATTCTGGGAGTTGGCATCCACAGGTCTTAAAGCTGTCAACGTTAAGAAACACTGTCCTAGAAGGCAAAATTTGTATGGGTATTAGAGAGATTTTACATAACCTCTACAATACAACTGCACCATCCAATTGATAGTTGTCCCTCTGAAAGAAAAATTGCTAAATTCTAAAGCAATCCTTGCGCAGAACCACCTGGATTTTGTTTTCCTTCCAGTGTGTGATTTCTTAAGCGAAAACAACCATATTGAAGCAATTCTTAAAACTCTGCAAATCTCCTGATTTTCTTTCTTTCTTTTTAAAATCTGTGCCATGGTATCTATTCTTGCATTACCACATTCCGAGTCAATTACATCAGCCGGCTGAAATTCTGATGGGGCCCTCAGAGAAGTGCCAGCTTCTTTTCTGATGTCAACAGCTCTTGCCGATTCTGGGCCGATGTGGCGCTATCGGTCTACTCTTAAGAGCTACTTTTCTTTTATTTTCATCCTAGCCGATCAAGGAAGCCACATAAAATGTGAAGGTTGTCGAGGACTGGGAAAAACGCCTCAAGATCACCCTGGGCCCGTCAGCCTGATTGTTATCCTCTGTGTCCTGCTATCCAGTATCAAAAATTCCTCGAGGTTCAAGTTCACATTCAGAGAGCTGCACACGCATCTCTTTTGCAAAGTGTGGGTAGCATCACAGGGACAGAGCAGTTGTCAAATACAATAAATGAGCTAAGAATCGGATCAGCTCCAAGACAGCTAAGAGATTATACTTTTCAATCTGTACCGTCTCTTAGCTGAAACCAGCTCCCAAACTGTTACACCTAACGGCCCTTTACAGGTGTACATGCCAAGGTGTAACACTGTCCTTTAAAGGTGTGCATGCCAAGTTGCAGGGCAAGGATGAAAGGGTGAAGCTTCGGTTGTGGGTTTCATTATTCTGGCGTCCTAATGAAGAACAGAGGCCCAGGTCTGTGCGTGGCTGGCCAAATGAATGTTTCTAGACTAGGGTTTCTCAGCCCTGGCAACTTGAAGACCTGTGGACTCCAACTTCCAGCATTCCCCAGCCAGCTACGGGGTTTGAAAGTCGCCCGTTCAATTTTCTCCATGCCATTCCTCACTGCAGCCCAAGCTTTCTATGGCACGACAGAAGACTGAATTCCACTTGCGTTGCCAAGTTCTCCAAGACATTTGCAGATGGTAACCATGTGAACTCTAGAAGATTGCTTTGAAAAATACTTCAATGTTTCCTTTGTTTAACTAAGCCCAAACTCACCATGTTGAGTCATGGTCATCATACTAAGTAATGCTTGATGGAGCCAACCACTCTAGTAAAATTCCTCTTTTATTTCGGAAAACAAAAAAGGACCCCACTAGACTAATTCCACGCATGCTACATTTTTACTTTTTCATTTCCTACTTCCAATTCTGTCTAACTTTGAAGACAATTTTTCAATATCTCATAATCCAGACTCAGTTCAAACGATATATTTTCATTACATCTCCTCTAATAGAGTTAGAGACGTGTTTTCTTTTGTTTTGTTTTTAAAAAAGTGGAAAATAAATATTTTGACACTCTTGCTTATTTTCAGTCGGTAAAATGAAACATGTTAGCTATGCAATCGCATCATCTTTGGCTTGTAAAATACATATCTGAATCTCTTTCATTCTTTCAAAAAAAAATATTATCTGTGTTAAATTATACGCGTACTGTAATCTCGGGGTTTATTAGCATTAAGGAAATAACATCATGGATGACTATTTTATTGGTTTATAATCCGTTCTGTGTGAATTTAATATTTAAATCGTGTAGTATTACCTTCGTACGAGGGAGGAGCTTGGGTGAATGTTTAACAGGTGATGAGACCAAGGCCGATTTCCTATTTGCTATAAAATCCACCTGATGCAAGCTAAGGAGATGCAACAAGAGAAGGCTGGAGCCCGACCCAGAACAGAGTGAGACTGCTGATAATGTTATTATTTCCCCTTGAGAAGCAGACCTCTTCCCCACCCACCCATCCCAGGGCCCTATCAAGTGGTTTTTGAATACTTTTGTGAAGTGGGAGAGAGGCCTTTGCCCTTTGCACAAAAGACGGGTTATCAAAAAGCAGAATTCCAATGGGCAGATGGAGAGGTGGGCGCACTGCAGGTCATCCTCAAGTTACAACCATTTGTTTAGTGACCATTCAAAGTTACAGCAGCACTGAAAAAAGGCACGTACGACTGTGTTGCACACTGATGGCAGCTGCAGCATCCCCACGGTCATGTGATCAAAAATTTGGGCTCTTGGCAACCAGCATGCATTTACGGCAGCTGCAATGTCCCGGGGTCATGTGATCACGGTTGGCGACTTTCTGAGAAGCAAAGTCAAGGGGGAAGCTGGATTCACTTAACGACCAGGGATTCACTTAATAGCTGCGGCAAGAACAGTCATAAAACAGGGCAAAACACACTTAGCAACTTTGCTGGCTGGGAAATTCTGCGAGTTGAAATTCACGAGTCTTAAAATTGCCAAGATTGAGAAATCCTGCTCTACAATAATCAGCTGGGAGAAGTGAACTATTATTTAGGCTTTAATCCTGCTTGTGAAATATAGGTAGTCCTTGACTTACAACCACAATTGAGCCCAAAATTTATGTTGCTAAGTGAGACATTTCCCCCCATTTTACGACTTTTGCCACATTTGTTAAGTGAATCACTGCAGCTGTTAAATTAGTAGCACAGTTGTTAAGTGAACCTGGCTTCCCCCATTGATTCTGCTGGTCAGAAGTTTTCAAAAGAGGATCACGTGACTCTGGGACACTGTGACCGTCATAAATGTGAGTCAGCTGTCAAGCATTCAAATGCAAATCAGGTGACCCTGGGGATGCTGCAATGGTCATCAGTGTGAAAAGTGGTTGTAAGTCTTATGTGTGTTAAATATGTTTATACCCTCAACAGCACAGAACCAGAATGTCTGCTGTTGTTGGGTTTTCCCCAAGAACCTCTGATCTGCAAACAAAAGGATCTGCAGCCTTGCTTTTAAAGCTGGCAGATGAGCAAACCAGAACTTCATCCAGCATCGAATGAGTGATTTCAACAAATGGCCCCTCAGAGCCACAAGCAAATATTATTCCTGCCCCAAGATGAAGGCAGCCAAGATCTGTCCTCGTCAGGAGCCAGGGAGGACCCGGCTAAAAGGCAAAACAAACGTCTCAGTCCAAATAACTAACCTGAAATTCTTATTTTCACTAGAAATAAGAACAAATATTCCGCAGCCAAAAGTCGGCGTTGCGATTTTACCCCGAGCATTTATCCTGAGGGGATACGCATATGCAAGGATCTCTTTTAAGGCTTCCAGATCAACCTGGCTAATAGTTAAATAATTAAGCAGCTGGCAGATGTTATCCAATTTCACCCACTGTAGCTGCAAGGGATAAAAAGATTCATATTCTGTTTGAACTTCCAGAGTTAGATACTGCTGTCAATTATTGATGCAGTAAAGGGGAGAGCTGATAAGGAATGAAGTTTGGAAGACTGTCACTTAGATGGGAGAGGCCTTAAAATTTTGCTTAAGCCTTCACAAAAAAGCAGCAAGTCCATGTTGATTCGTGGGTTCCGAGAGCCAAGTGCGAAAAAGTTAACTATAATAAATATTTGAATTGCATATGTGTTTATTGATTATAAGTATATTTATTTCATGTAATAAATACAGATGAATGCCCCTCTCTTCTCCAAAGTGTTTTGTACATAAACATAAAAAGAGCTTTCTAAATGCATGACACCCCAGTAAGAATCAGCAAAGAAACAGGCATAGTTGTGATGCAAGACACAGCCACCTAAAATTCTTCCGTCGGTTCAAAGGTTACCTCTACATAATTAACCAAGGGAAAGACAGATGGCACCAATACCTGCAGAAGACTTTGAAGCCCACCTTCAAATCCTACCAGAATACATAATGCCTTCCAAGCGGTTTTAGCTTAAACTGAATTCAAGAGTTAGGTGAGCAAATCATTTTGGTTTCCTAACCAGCGTGCTGGGACTTTCAGATTTATTCCCGTCCTGAATTCATTTTTTATTTCTTCTGCTTAGGCAGACATGGATGGCCCAGTGGTTTCTGTTTAATAATGTGTTATTTGCTGACAGGTTCCAAGACAAAGCATGATTTAAAAAAAAAAAACCTTTATTTTGCTCCATCCCTTGAGTCTGTCAGAGCAAAGGTCTCCAACCTTCCTCGGTTGGCGGGCTGGAGAGAAAGGGGGAGAGAAGCATTTTACGTGATGCAAATGGGGCGGTGCTAGCGCCCACGTAACACCCACTAGCAGGGTCAGATTATCTCTAACCAGGAGTGGAGAAGCTGTGGCCCCCGATTCCCCTTTGTACCCCTCAGAGCACCTCTGTCTAGGATTACCAAAGCCAACAGCAGTTTCCCTTCATTATAATGAACGAAATAGATGAAAACTGAAATGCATGTCTTATAACAGACACCAAGAAAGGAGAATATCTGTAGCTCAGGGTAAAAGGCAGGGTCCTTGATGCTCTCTGAACTTGGCTGTTTTCTTGCAAACGTTTCATTATACAAACTAATAACGTTATCAGTACTAGAAGGGGAGTGTTAACCTAGCACTGATGGCGTTACCTAGTTTGGGTAATGAAACATTGTGCAAGAAAACAACCCAGCTCAGAGAGCATCAAGGACCTGCCATTAAAATAGGTATGTCACATTTTTTTAAAAGGGGGGAAACCCCAAATTATGCCAGACCCAGCTGTGCCCACCTAAGCAATGTGGCTCCGCCACACTGTGGCTGCCACTCCCCTTAAGCACCAGCTTTAACCTTTAAAACATTCCCTTCCTGCTTACCTGTTGCTTCAATGTATTCAATGCATCTCTCAATAAAAATGGGGATGGGCTTCTCTGGGGTCACTACAGTGGTCAAAGGCACCCCAAAATAGTTGCTCTCCCATGTAGTCTTTGTGATAGATGGTCGAGGCTTAGGCTTTGGTTTCTGTAGAAAACAATTAATCTGAGTTAGTATGGCCAGGAATGTAGTCACAAAAAAGGAAGGAAGGAAGGAAGGAAGGAAGGAAGGAAGGAAGGAAGGAAGGGAAGGGAGGAAGGAAGTCTATTTTATTGCCTAAAAATGCCAGCCCCAGATTTTACTTAAAAACATTATATCTGATTAGACAAATGGAATCTATATATCTGAAAGCAGAAGTTGCTGTTAAATCATATTTGGTGTAAGTTATGCTTGCAATATGGAAATCCAGTTCAGTGTAGTGGTTAAGGCGCTGGTTTAATAATCAGGAGATGATGAGTTCTAGTCCCACCTTAGCCATGAATTTGGCTGGATGTCTTTAGGCCAATCATCAGGAGGCAATGAGTTCTAGTTCCACCTTAGGCATGGCTGTCAGTTGTGTGACTTTGGGTCAATCACCAGGAGGAGGTGAGTTCTAGTCCCACCTTAGGCTTAAAAGCTGGCTGGTAGACTTTGGGCCAATCACCAGGACACTCTGCGTTCTAGTCCCACTTTAGGCACGAGAGCAACTAGGTGACCTTGGGCCAGTTTCTCTCTCTTCGCCCAACCTACTTTACAAGATTGTTATTATGGGGAAATTTGGAAGAGAAAAGAGTATTATGTATATTCACCACCTTGAGTTAATATAAAGCAGTGTTTCTCAATCTTGACAATTTTAAGGCATGTGGACTTCAATTCCCAGAATTCCACAGCCAGCATTGCTGGCTGTGGAATTGTGGGAGTTGAAGTCCACATGCCTTAAAATTGTCAAGGTTGAGAAACACTGATAAAGTAATAAAAGTGGCATAAAAACCTAATAAATAAATAAAGGATACATAAACGTGATACGAGAGCCACTGGACAGCAGTGGGGAAGATGTCAGACTAGGTGCAGGGCCACCCAGATTCCAAACCATCCTTAGCCAAGGAATCTCTCTGGTATCTTTGGGTCAGCCACTCTCAGCCCATCCTGCCCCAGCAAGCTCGTGGTGGTGGTGGGAAATGGGGAGGGGGAAAGGAGCTGTCACTATGTCACCATGAGCTCTTGAAGGCAGGAATTAAACCAATAAATAATACCAGTTAGAAAATGTTATATAAAAAGGGGAAAACCATTCAAGGGATATGTCACAACACAAGCCACAAGAAAAATAGGCTCAGCACAACCAAAATAATTATGAACATATTTATACGCTGAGTGACAAGAGAATTCAAAACAGCGGCAAGCATCAGAGACAGCAAAAGCCAACGAGGACGATTCTGTTCTGCTTCCTCCAGATTAAGGTAATATGATGCAGATCAAACACGATTTGTTTCGAAAACAATGCTGGGAAAGGTATTCTGTAGCTGAAATAAGGTTGGCTGAGGCTGAAACAACACGCCAAGACGAGAGCTTAGAACAACCATGAAGACGATTCACACAGGATGGAAATGAGCAGCAGAGGACCGCTGACCACTGAACTATGAACTACAGGTAGTCCTCGGCTTACAGTAGTCTATTTAGTGACCATTCAAAGTTACAGCAGCACTGCAAAAAGTGACTTATGACCAATTTTCACACATTGCAGGACCCCCTTGGTCACGTGATCAACATTTGGCCCTTGGCAACTGGCATGTATTAATGACGGCCACAGGGTCCCGGGGGAGGTCACGCGATCCCCTTTTGTGACCTTCTGACCAGCAAAATCAATGGGGGAAGCCAGATTCACTTAACAACCATGTCGCTAACTTAACAACTGCAGGGATTCCCTTAACAATCGTGGCAGGAAAGGTCATGAAATGGACCACATTCACTTAACAAACATTTCACTTAGCAATGGAAATTTTGGGCTCGATTGCAATCGTAACTCGAGGACTACCTGTACAGAGAAGAAAGCAAATGGAAACAACCAAAGATCAGGGACTGCATGAGAGAAGGATTAAGTCCCCCAAACCGGAATCCTGATCTAAGCCTCTCTTTCAAATATAAAAGAAAGAAAGAAAGAAAGAAAGAAAGAAAGAAAGAAAGAAAGAAAGAAAGAAAGAAAGAGAAAGAGAGAGAGAGAGAGAGAGAGAGAGAGAGAGAGAGAGAGAGAGAGAAAGAAAGAAAGAAAGAAAGAAAGAAAGAAAGAAAGAAAGAAAGAAAGAAAAGAAAAGATGAAATACCATTCCTTGAGGACATCCCCTGAACCTTGTGGCCCAGGAAATTTCTCACCCTCTCCATTGTCTATTTCCTGTTTAGTCTATTTCCATACAACTTCCTCTTCTAGAGTTCTGGAGACACAAGGATATTTTGAACAATACTAGCTTGTAACAACAAGGGGTGTGTGTGTGTGTGAGTGTCAAAAAAAATTTTCAGTCTACAGTGGAGAAAGAACGTCTCTGTGCAAAGATATTTTAACAAGCAATTAAACCAGGTAACCACAGCGTAATAAAAGCTTAAACTCGATCCACGGGAAAATTCAGGTAGTCCTCAACTTACAACCACTCATTTAGTGACCGTTCGAAGTTACAACCGCACTGAAAAAAGTGACTTCCGAAGGTATTTCAGACTTACGATCGTTACAGCGTTCCCATGGTCACGTGATCAAAATTCGGATGTTTGGCAACTGGCTCAGAATTATGACAGTTGCAGCGTCTTTACTCCTGTGATCCCCTTTTGCAACCTTCTGACCAGAAGTCAATGGGGAAGTCAGATTCAGTTAACAGCCGTGTTACTGACTTATCAACCACAGTGATTCACTTAACAACTGCAGCAAGAAAGGTCATAAAACGGGGCAAAACTCATTTAGCAACTGTCTTGCTTAGCAAGCAAGATGTTGGACTCAACTGTGGTCATAAGCTGAGGGCTACTTGCAAACCACTCATCAGCCAAATTATAATTGAATGAAATGTGTTGGCTCAATCAGACTTAAAGTGGTTAGAAACCTACATTCAGGCAAAAAGACCAAGGGATATTTACAACTGTGGCTGGCTTCACAGAACAAAATCATACGCCCAAGTCCTGGGATAAATGCGTATTAAGTCTGAGTGTAACTTTTTTCCTTGTCTGCTCAACCTGGCAGGTTATATGTCAAGATTAAACAAGGTGCACTGATTCACCTCTTAGAAAGATGCTTGCACTTGTGCTGTCCTACGCTGCTTGCAGTACAGAGATTTAATGAGGAATAAATCCAAAAGGTAACAGAAGCAGCCATATATATTGCATCATGACTGTAAAGCGACAATAAAAGGGAGCCAGCTGTTAAAAAGCCCTGGTGATTTACAATCAGCAGTTCAGCTATATAAACTAAAAGAGCAAAGTATTATTAGGTCTCAATCAGTGAAATGAGATGGAAAAGAGGAGAGAAACCTGCTCCTCCATCAAGAGCAGATCTCCCTTATCCTGTCCGTGGCCAAAGGCTGACCAACGGCCTTGTTCCAATGAAAAAAGGAGACACAGTACTTCAGCTGGAAAAGTTCTTAATTCTGCATATTCCAATTAGAAAAACAATGGTAAGTTATGGCTAAAAATAAAAGAGGACCACAAACAAGCTAGTTCTATTAATCAGGGTTTTTTAAAAGATCTATTTTCTTTCAGATGCGAACCAATCTGAATAGTAAAATATTTGGGATTTTCAGTTAATTCCCTTAAGTAGATGTTTTATTTTGCATGTGGGGTTCCCACAGATACCTTGTTAGCCATCCTTAGCTAGATACAGCTTGTCATCTAGCAACACACTTCGATTTTTGCTAGATTGGTCTTGCCTAATCACTGCAGTGTGGTTTTTAACACGGCTGGCAATATAACAGACTGGGCATGTTCAACTGACTTGCCTCAGCAATGATCCAGACTAATTAATACTTGGGGATAATGAAATTTGTAAACTTTCTTAATTCTTTTATACAGATGGAATCGACGCAATCTTCAGTTTTTGAGTCCAACTCCATTAGGGTTCTCCTGTTATATTTAAATGGGCAAAGTACAGCGAATTCAGTCATTGTTTTTGTACAGAAGTGACTTCCCCCATATGCTGAATCAGCTCGTGAACTTACAGCGCAGGAACGCAGATTAAAAAGCAAGTTGATTTATCATGAAAAAAATCAATGTGACAGAAGCAACTAGAAATCCATGACACAGTCAGTTGAGAACAGGCCTAATGAAACAGCAAGGCAGTCCAGATTTAAATACTAAGCTGTATTAATTTTGCAATATGGCCGATAGCCATTAATTTGGCAAGCTGCCTGGATGCACCCCCCCCACTTTTATAACACATTTCTATCTATCGGGGAAATAATCTCAAACCATGATTGGGCTCCACAAAGAGGGTGAGGGTCTTACATCCCTCAAAGGTGTACAACGGCTAAAGAATAAATGAAGACTAACCTTGCATTTTAGAGAAGATTTTGTTATGAGAGGCATAGCAGGGCAATGGATATCCTCCACTCTGAAATCCACTTGCATACAGGTAGACCGGTTGCTTAGCGAGCGTCTGAATTTCCGATGGACCTACCTTGACGCTATTTACACAGCCCGGTTTAAAATTCTGGTGATCGTGTCCCTCCACTTCGGGCCCTTGGCAAAATGACTGCATTTATCCCACAGTCACACAATCGCATTTTACAATGGTCTTGCCGAAAACCAGCGATTTCTCCCAGAGTTTGGCAAAAGCACCCCCGAACCACAGTGGCTGCTTTACGACTGTGTCAGCGTTTAACAACCGCCGTGTTCATTAGGTAGTCCTTGACTTACAACAGCGGCACTGAAAAAAGTGACTTATGATTGGTTTTCACAATCATGACCGTTGCAACACCCCCAGGGTCCCATGATGAAAATCTGGGCGCCGGGCAACTGGCATGTAATTAGGACAGTTGCACTATCCAGGGGTCAAGTGATCATCGTTTGTGACCTTCCCAGACGGCCTTCCCAGACGGCGTCTGACAAGCAAAGCCAATGGGGGGGGGCAGATTCGCTTAACAAGCCCATTATTCACTTAACTACAGTGGTTCACTTAACAACTGTGGCAAAAAAGGTCATAAAATAGGGCAAAACTCCTTTAACAACTGCCTTGCTTAGCAACAAAATATTTTGGGCTCAATTATGGTTGTAAGTCGAGGACCTGCCTGTATCTGTATTCCGGGCAGAGCAATCCGTAGGAAAGTCTTTCAGATGGTTTAAACTTCCCCTTGCCCCAGTGCTGAAATCCCACTGACTTGAGCTTGGTCATCTACCTGGTCTCCCTCTGCTGATTAAGAGGCAGGTCAGCAACTATTTTATCTCCCACCCTGAATATATTCCAGTGAGCAGTTTTTATTTCGTTTTATTTCTTGATGGCAAGTTAGAATTTCTGCAAACTACTGAAAGAGATCTCTTGGCTATTTCCTCTTTCTCTGGATTCCAGACTCTACTCTCTTCTTTTTACTAACAGTTCAAACAGATGGCCTGGTACAAAAAAAAAAAGCCTAGAGGGCTTTTTCCTGTCCCATAAAGGAATGGAAGAGTTAATAATATTCATACCCTTTCTCATCAAGGGTTGTTTTCCAATTAGAAGCTGTAAGATGCCATTGTAGACTGGGGGGGGGGGGAGGATTAAATTTTTGTTTCTGCTTTCAGCTTGCAATGCGTAGAGCCATCATGTAATTTTAAAGTAAAATATAGTTGTTGTTTTAAGTAGCAAGCTCTGAGTCATTATTTAAGCTTTTTCAAATAGAGGGTATTTTTTTTTTAAAAAAAAAAATCTGGCTTGCCTTTGTGTCCCGTCCCCCCCCTTCAATAACACGGCGGCTCTCCTGCCAATGCAGAGAAGTCCACCCTGCTGGCGGCAGGACAACTGCTGCAAGGATGAAATCACCACCGTTTTGTAAAGCAGCCACAGCATTGTTTAAAGAGACCCCGGTCCTTCCGTGAAAGAAAGGAACCTTTTCTGATGTCATTTCAAACTCTTCTATAAAACGACAGATTAAGAAAAGAAAAAAAATCACCTGAGAAATGAAAACATATATATTGATGTTACAATCTGTCCTTTGGGGCGCATTTTTGATGTCATATTACAAACCAGAACAGTAATGAATTTCCCAGAAAATAAGTTGAAACACAAAGCCCATGCTGTATACTTGACAATTAGCTGTTCAAAATCCATTATTTTCAAAAGGGCCAGCCGCTTATTTGAAAATTGCTTTCTGAAGCTGGACTTAAAAAAAAGAGAGAGATGGAATCTTACACGGAAAAAACCAATGTGCTAATATCTGATTAGAATGCTTTTCTTTTAATTACTGAACAGACACATAAACTGCACCTCTGATCAGAGATTACTGGAGCATTATTGCTGGCTACCTTCTCAGAATGCAAAGGGACAGAGTCTTAGGAGAATTTGTGTATCAGATTTGTGTCCCATCTTTCTGTGTAACTCAAGGCAGTGTAAATAATACTCCTTCCTGATGGATACCTCCACAACAACCCAGAGAGGTGAGCTGGGCTGAGAGAAAGAGCGACTGATCCAAGGTCACCCAATGTCTCCTGGGTTCTAATCCAGCACCTTAATTTCTGCATTAAAATGCTGTCTTTAAATCAAAGCCTGAAAGTATTTGTTGCATCCTTTACATTTGTTCCTAGTGTTTCTCCAATGCAGACGCTTCTGAATAGCAAATAAATTGTCCAAATCTTACATAGAAATATAGCCCTCTATTCTCCAAGACTCCTAAAATACAGATACCCCTCTGTTCACACACCACAAACCGCTCCTAATTATTTTTCACGAACGGACAAACAACTGGATTACCAAACAATTGTATGACCCTCTAATGCAGGAGTGGGGAACGAGGCTGGCTCAGGAATTCTGGGAGTTGAAGCCCACAAGCCATAAAAGAGCCATCGTTCCCCACCTCTGCTCTAATGGCTGTCAAACCACGCAACTTGAAGTTAAGGACACTCACAGACGTACACACACACACACACACGTTACCTTGGTGGTCCTCCTCAAGCTACGCAAGATATTTCTTTTCCTGGGGTCTTCATCAGTAGTCTCGTAGGGAATTACAGCGTTATCTCCTTTATAGCCTTGGGACGTCTGGTCCTCTTCTTTCTTCCTAATCGGCCCCAACTCATCATCGCTCCCTATACTGAAACTGGTCCTGAAACTGGCAAATCGCCCAAGTCTCGTGCATCGGGTTCGATACAGCACCGGCTTGCTAGTTAGCGACACCTTGCGCCCCCGCTCTAAGGAGCTGGTGTCCATTTCGCTGTCTGACCCGTTGCCGCTGCCGTTGGACTGGGTTTTGTTGATGTTCCGAATGGTGATGATTTTGCCTTGGGTGCTGTCGTGAGGCACAGAGTAGATGTTCTCCTCCTCGTTCCTGGGCTTGACCACGGCGTCCATGGGCTCGGCATAATCCGAAGGGTCAAAGCCGTCGGTAGGTGGCCAGCTACTGGAGGAGACCGGTTTCCGTTGTCCGTCTCGGTGTCCTTGCTCCAAGTAAGCGAGATCTCCCTTGGTGATATCAAAATGGACAGCGGGCTTTGGTTTCACGGGTGGAGGTACTTTGTTGTTCAGTTTGCTTTCGAAAGTGCTCATCACAGAGAAGACCGAAAGCCCATCGTTGCCCTCCAGTTCCATGGAGAGCTTGGAAAGGTCTTTGGACAAGGTGGCCATGGTGCCGTCGTCTCTGAAAGGGCTGTAGCTGGGAGGCTCGATGTCTTCTTCAGAATCCTGCAGGTTGGAGTTGCAAAGAGGGGAGCCGGCCCGGGGAGAGTTGAACACTTCTTCCGTGGTGCTGCAGGCTTCCGCCGCGTTGTCGTACATGTGGGTCGCCTCGATGATGTTCTTCCTCTCCACCACATCTTTGAAGAACAAGTGGAAAATCTCCAGCTTGTGTTGAGGCTGGCTGCAGGGCATGCTTGTGAATTTCCCTTCGATGTCCTGGGCGATTTCCTCCCCTTCCGTGAGCTGTTCTCGACTCAGATCGTTGTCTAGAACGTCGATGGAGCCCTCCGTGAGCGCCACAATCTGAACGGGGATAATGTCCTGCACTTCGCAAAGAAAGGCACGCAGCATAGCCAGAGATGCCTTGCGCTTGGCGGAGTAAAACAAAATGTAACCGTGGACCAGCCAGCTTTTGCGAATGCTAAAGGCGGAGTGGAAAGACAGCAAGGAGAGTTCTATGCGCCTCTTGTGGGGTCCGATGGGGTATTCAAGTAACACGGAATTGCTGCTTCCAGACGGGGAAGGCCGGCAGGATTGGGACTGAAGAATGGGGAGAAGGATATCGTCAGCGTTAAAAGGATCTCCGCACAACAAGCACATGACGATCCGGAGGTCGATGTCGGCCAGATCTTTAAGGCTTGCGGTTGAGCTCATCAGGTTTAAGTTGCGCTTAGAATCCAGCAAGCCTTTCAGGACTTGGCTGATCTGCTTTTCGTTAATGTTGCGCCCATATCCTATGCCGGTGGAAGCCGGGTCGAGGAACACGCACTGCAATTTACTCGCAATCTGTTGCCCTTGCTGTATTAAACTGTGTAGTGTTTCTCCACTGGTGTCCCCTCTCTTGTTCACCAGAATTAGGGTGAGGGGAAGGTGAGCTAAGTGATTGTCCCTTCGGCTGAGGGTGGACTCTCTACTCTTCTCAATGCTCTCCACAACGTAAGATAAAGATTCCTTAGAGTTATAAAGGCAGAGGCAGCCGTGGGGCTGGAAGGTTGGCGTCTGGAAAGAATTAACCGGGAGCCGCACGTTACCCTCGATGGGTCTCAAGGAGAGCTCGTACATTTTCCCGTCTATCACGTACTTGTCATCGTTCGTGCAAAGAGCTCGGATCTCATTGGCCAGCTCACGAGCAAGTCCATCTTTCCCAAGAATGACTAAGTTGATGCGGTCGATGTTGGAGTCAGAAAGCAAGTTTTTCTGATTGCGATCCGAAGGCCTGATAAATCTGGAACTTATTAAGTGCTCTATTTTAGCATCTACGCAAGCTGGGCAGCTGGGACAAGTGTCCTTGGTGGGATGGTAGACAAAGTGAATATGTTTCAAGATCAGGGCGTCTCGTTCAGCCTGCAGTTTTTGCAACGCTTTAAATCTCTGCTCTTCCCCCAAGACGTCCTGGATGACCCCCATTTTTTCTTTGCTGGGTTTGGCATCGAGCTCCAACTCATAAAAGAGTTCTGAATACTCGAGGAGCAGTTCCTGGAAGTCCTCCTTGGCCTTCTCGATAATTTGTTTCTGGTGCCGACTGTAAATGTCCATGTACACAGATTCTTCTAGCCACATGTAAAAATCCTCATTCATGATGAAACTGCGAGCTTCTTCCCAAGGTTTTCCCGGGGTTATGAAAGGGGACGTCTCCAGATTCTCTTTGAAAGCCCTTCTCATTTCTGCCCTCTTCCTCTCATTCCTCAGGTTTTCCAGGTGGGTCTCGTAGAGCTGCTGGGCAGGCAAGGTGTCCATCACATCAAACGGAATGCGGTCGTTCTCCATGTTGTCGATGTGGCTGGTGGCATCCCAGGGCGTCTCCTCAAGCACGACAAACCACTTTAAGAAGTCTGGCTTGGTCTCCAGCAGCTTCTCCACTTTGATGCAACTCAAGTGGTTGATTTCATCCAGGTTTGGAATCAGAGCATCAAAGGCAAGAGGCAACATAGCCAGGTACATCTTTTTCCTCCGCTCGATATGCTCCTGCTTGAGGCGAAAGATGTGCTGTAAGAAAAGTTTCTTTGCTTTCTGGGTCCCTTCCAGGTAGACATAATCCTGATATTCCGGAGAGGATTGCATCTTTCGTGAGACGTTGGACCAAGTTTCGTTGTGGTTTTTAACAATACGGCTGACCAGCCACTCATACTTATCCTTTGCTGCAGCAATCTGTTGGCTCTGCTGTTTCAAAGCCTCGAAATATGGGATAATCTTAGTCTTTCCCCTGCTTTTGTCGATCAGCTGCACCAACGTGCTGAAAGCCAAGTCAACGTTCACGTTGGATCTGGCCGAGGTCTCCACCACCTGAAGGTTCTTTTTGCTGAAGACAAAAGTGTGTGCATCTCGAATGTACCGCTCCACCCCTTCGTCGCACTTCGTCAGGACCACCACCGTGGGCTTTTTCGTCTTGGTGAGTTGATTGTAGAGGTTGGAGACAAACTTGAGCTGCTCGTCAAAGTTCCTGTTCATGCCTCTGCTGACGTCGATGCAGAGGAGAAAGCCGTCTACCAGGAGCTTCCCGTCGGGCATCTGCTTCTGCTCAAAGTCCTGCTCCAGGCCGAGCTGATCGGTGCAAAAGTACATGAGCTTTTCGGCGGAGGCCAGCTTGGTCGCCGCGGCCCTCTTAATGTAGGGCTGCAGGGCGGTGCTGCGGTGCGGCTGGAAAGTCTGGTCGTCAATAAATTCTGTCTGTTCCACAACGTGCATTTTACATTCCACACAGTCCTCCAGAGAGCGCACCACTTCTCCCCAATACAGGAAGTGGTCATTGTTAACCACCCGTCCTCCAAAGTCACTGGTGCTGAGAACGGAGGTATGGTCCAAGTGGAAGTCGTCTGCTCTCGGCCGCACAAACCGATTGCAGAGGCAGGACTTCCCGATACCGCACTGGCCTTTCTCCTTCTCAGTCCCGGACAAACCCACCACACTGATGTTGTAGGTGGGAATGCGGACATCTTGCTTCCTTGCCATCATCATCGTCCAAACATCCTGTTCTGCGCGGGGCTGCTTCTTAGGCTATCAGGGTTCTCCTGGGCAACCTCAAAATGCTGAGGGGTACTACTGGCAGTTCAGATTAAGGACGATTAGCACAGCAAAGACAACTGTTCCCACTCTTGGTGGCCACCAGCAGCTCAGTTGTCACTGATCCTCACAACTGGATGCTCAGCATTTTTCCTTGGAAAAAAAAGAGAAAAACAAGAAATGGATTAGGATGGTTGAAAATTTATTGTTTTATTTTATTATTTATTGGTATCCCGCATTTATTATTTTTACAAGTAGCTCAAGGCAGCGAACATATCCAACACACCTTCCTCCTCCTATTTTCCCCGCAACGACAACCTTGTGAGGTGGGCTGGGCTGAGAGAGAGGGATTGGCCCAAAGTCATCCAGTTGGCTTTTCTAAGGCTGGACTAGAACTCACAGTCTCCTGGTGATAGGCCCAAGGTCACCCAGCTGGCTTTCGTACCTAAGGTGGCACTAGAACTCACCATCTCCCACTTTCTAGCCTGGTCCCTTAACCACTGGACCAAACCTTCGTACAAATCAAAAAGTAAATCATTAAAAGGCACAGATTTTAAAAGTATTGAAAAAAAATAGTTCCTTCAAGCTAACTTGCAGGCTGTGCCTTAAAACAGCATTTCCCCAACTTCTCCAGGTTGGTGGCCTGGTGTGTGTGTGGTGGTGGGGGGATGGTTTTGTGTGAGGAGTAGTAAAGCTTCATTTGTGCGAGCGGCAGGCACGGGTGTTTGTGCAATTTGGGCTGTGCACGTGCTGGCACACCACTCACGTGGCCTGGCTGCAAATAGGCCCCCGGCCGATAGTGGGCCATGGCCCACAAGTAGGGGACCCCTGCCTTAAAAAGTATGTGTGGAATCATCTCTCTCTCTCAGGCATTTGCCAAAAACCAACGCAGGGTGTCCCAGATCTCCTGGGGTCCCAAGCAACACCAGGAGGGGAGATGGGCCCTTGCAAGGGCAGTTCCTCCACCCCTTCTTTCCAGAAAAGAAACAGCTCGCTGTTACAGATAGCACACAGGAGAGCCTGCATTTGAACAGTGTTTGACTAATAAGGCAGTTCTTTATCTTGTAAGCTGCTTCCAAGCCCCTGTCCCAGGAGTCAGAGTGGTGCCCACCCCACTTTTTGCACCAGGGAAAAAAAGGAAGTGCTTTCTCTAGGAGACCCAACAGTGCGACATTCCAGAAGTGGCTTGTGTGTGCACACACATTCTTTTCTAGAGAGCCTGCCAAAGGGAAAGCTCAGCTCAACGACTAAGGAAGTTGTTTTGAGCTGGCCTTCTGTTTATTGATTCTTTTTTCTTTCTCTGGGAAGCCGAAGGAAAAAAGTCCTGCCCACAACGCCACAAGTCCTGTTTTAGCCCAGAGACAATGTTATGAAGGCAGCCGCTGAGATTTAAAAAAGGGTTCTGTTAGCATGGATTGATGCAAATGCGCCTTAATGTGGGTCCCTCGTAGTTTCTCCTCCTCTTCTGGAGACAGAGAAAGGGAAGCCGGCAGAGCATGGAATGGGAGGAAGAGGAAGATGACACCAATGAGAATGGTACTTTTAAGGGGGAACTATGGAGTCGCCTCTGCCAGGCATATAGGTAGTCCTCAACTACAATTGAGCCCAAAATTTCTTTTGCTAAGTGAGACATTTGGGAAGTGAGTTTTGCCCCATTTTACGACTTTTCTTCCCTCAGTTGATAAGTGAATCCCTGCAGTTGCTAAGTTAGTAACTCGGTTGTTAAGTGAATCTGGCTTCCCCATTGACTTTGCTTGTCAGAAGGTCGCACAAAAGGGGATCACGTGACCTTTGGACACAGCAATAAATACGAACCCGTTTCAAGTCTGGGTTTTCTTCCTTTAAAAGCTTTGAAACTCTTTGCCAAAAATGTGATGAGTTTTGCAGTTTAATACTTTTCCACTGAGAAGGGGCGTTGACTTACCTGAACGCCTTTTCAGCTACTAGAAGAAATCCCCCCCAATGGAAAGGAACTATACCTGCCCAGGAGCCAAAGATTGTCGGTCTTTCTGTATGGCCAGATCAGTCAAGACTGAAGAATCATGGTCCAGGACTGGGCGTGGCAACTTTGGCTGACTGATCTGATTGGCCAGGAATACAGTCTCAACCCACTGCGTGGATTATCCATCTCCAGTGCTGGAGAATTTTGGGGTTAGCAGCCCTTGGGTCTTCGAGCCTGTTTTTTTGCTCGCAGATTCAACAGACTGTATTTCCAAAGCACTAGAAACACTTCCTTAAAGGAGAACAATTGCACATACACACATACACGGAGGGAACTCCACTTCCACATTTTCCCGAAACAAGACATTCATAAAAGGAACTGTCTAAATTAGTCTACCTTACAAAAGAATCACCCTTCTCACTCACTAAGCAGACTGATCCACTAATGAAATGTTAGGTAGACAACTATGTGAGTCAGCTTCATAGATGGGCTTATCCTGCAGTTAAATATTAATTTCAGTGGATGAGAATGCAGTGGTGAAATGTGGACCAGAAATGGAGAGATCCAGGTTCTCCATCACAAAAGCTCCAGAGGTGACTCTAGGGCAGTCTTGGTCTCTCCATCCAACCTACTCAAAAAGTGGCTTTTGTGGGCCTGAACTAAAGCAGGGGGTCTTCAAACTTAGCAACTTTAAGACTTGTGGAAGTTGAAGTCCACAAGTCTTAAAGTTACAAAGTTTGGAAACCCTAAATTAAAGGAAGATTCTCGTAAGCTCTTGGGAAAAAAGATGAATATAAATCAAATAAATAAACCCAACAACATCACATCCTTAGAATTAGCTACATATCTGCTTTTCATGGGCAAGCTAGGGTATAAAAGAAAGCTTACAGCTGTGCCCAATTTTATGCCTTTTGCTATGGTTGTTAAATGAAGCACTGAAGATGTTAAGCGAATCACACAGTTGTTAAGTGAATCCGCCTTCTCCTATCAACTTGGTTTGTCAGGAGCCGGTTGGGAAGACTGAAAACGGCGATTGTGACTCCAAGATGCTGCAACTGTTGTTAATAGGTGCTACTTACCAAGCCCCTGAATTTTGATCACACTGACTGTGGGGATGCTGCAGCGGACGTAAATGTGAGGACTGGTCAGAAACCACTTTTTTCCCAGTGCCATTTTAACTTTGAAAGGTCACTAAACGAATGACTGTAAGTCGACATGTACCTGTAGAATTTAAAGTTCCCCAACTCAGCCCCTTCCAGAAGGCCTGGCTTACAAATGTCCTTCTCTTCTGAGTGAACTCAACACATCTGGAGGGCACCAAGTTGGGGAATACGGGTATCATGTTTCTTCCTCCCTAATTACTGAATGGTTCACGGTTTTTGTTTTTAAGGTTCAGAAATGGCACGTTGTCCTCCTTGTGTAAAGAGAACAAAGTGGATTATTCTATTGTGCTAGGTTAACCGGAGCGTAGGTAGTAGTAATACAGAGGTTAATTAAAAAGCAGTAAACAATTTGTCTCAGCTCTAACCATTCTGAAACATATTAGGCGTGTTAATCTGGGGGGTGTACTCTAAAATAGATTTAATCTGTTACTTATGCTTTAAAAGGGGGGATTGGCAGCAGGATAACAAGGGTGGCCTCTAGAGTTATGACCAACGGTGGATTTTGAATCTGCAGTCAGTATATAATACCTTTTGCTCTGATCATTAAATAATGCTGCTTAACTAGTTCTTCATTCAGAATGGATTACGAAAGACAAAGGGGTGCTGTAAGTTTTTAATGCTATTGTATGTCTGAGTTAGAAAAAGAAGCCTGGAACATTTGATCCCAAGTACATTCAATTTTTCTAAGCGGTAGTTTAAAAATCAGCTGAGTCACCAGATAAAACATTCCGAACTCCTTAAAAAACTGGAAGGAGGAAGCTGGCACAGAGTAGAAGTTCAACCCTGCTCTGAATCTGACCAAAAGTTTATCCCAAGTACAATTACACCTCAAAGGTAGCTGTTATTTTAACTGGTTCCAGTCCCCACTGAGGAATTTAGAAGGCTGGGTTTTTCACATATCCAAAAGAGAGGATGGATGGATGGACATACACACACACACATATACACACACACACGTTTCAGTATTAAAAGAGTATCATGTTATGATTTTACTATCTCTGTACAACCAGCTTCCCATTTAAAGAATTTTAAAAAGCTATAAAGCTGCTGTGAAAGTGCTAGAAGTTTCCACATTACAAATGAGACCCCTCTCTTCTTAAGGAAAAAGGCAGAATTGGGTTAGAAAAGATGTGGGAGACATTTTAATAAATGAAATAATAAAAATAACAGGGATATCATTTATCTAAAGTGGGGCAAATAAGTTCTCCAATTTGGAAAATTGCCAGTGAGCAATTCTCTGTTAAAACATTTACAGGAGCTTAATGAAATTTTGTGGCATTTTTGGGCCTCAAACTTAACAGATGTATTTTCTAAGCAAGAAAGTAGCATGATTATACTGTGTCAGCACGTTTCCTACGAAGAAAACTGTTAAAACTGGGGGGGGGGGGATTGCAATCCATGTGTTCCAACATCTAATACCCATGAAACCAGCTAAAATCTGATTTATCAGATCCTCATTCCTTTGACTCTACAGAGAATTTTCCTGACAGTATACGTTTTGCCATCCTTGTTGCTCTCCTCAATCTAGCAGGGATTTTACATAATGCCAGATAAAGAATTCAAGTTTCTATTACAGCAAATACAGAGGGCCTCTTTGTAAAACATGTTGTTTTACATACAAATTGCTTTTTGAGGATCCATGCATGAAAAGCAGGATTCAAGTATAAAAAATACATTAGACAGGTAATATTGTAAGCCATTCATGGGGATGATAGTACATGGAGGATTTCTGTCTATCTCCATTGGAATCTTATCCCTCTCTTCCCCCTCCCCCACCCTCCAAAGTATGGATTGGCCCTCACCAGCATCAAGAGCTTCATGCCTATAACCAGTACTTTTAAGTTCTCAACATAGCAACTAAGCAACTCTGGAGAATCCTATGAGTAAAATACATCTACATATATGTACTTAAGAGCAAGTTTTTTTCAAACTTGGCCACTTTTAAGATGTGTGGACTTCAACTCCCAGGATTCCCCAGCCAGTCTTGCCATTTGAAGATGTCTGGACCTCAACTGCCAGAATTCCCCAGCCAGCATACCCTTTACAAA